AAGTGGCTTCATCTAAATCCCATAGAAAGATGCACTCGGATGGTGTTACTCGGCCTGATCAGTGCCACGAAGCTAAGAAGCGGAGTGCCACCAAGCTAAGAAAAGCATAGTTAAACCGATTAGGATGGATAACCCTGAACTAGCAGTTAAAGATCTTATTGGATAGGAGTGAGAATACAAAAGCTTACTGAGTTATAAAAAGTCCTTGTCATCAAAGATGTGTTTAGGATCTGCAACTGAATCGAAGGGACCTGTACTTTGGGATAAGGCAAACGGATATGTTGTCTGAGACATCTTTGCGCAGGACTCAATGGCTCTCCCATACTGGAACAAGTTTCTGATTCCTTGTTTGACTTATTCCTTCCTTTACAGTAAAGCATATGCTATTTTAAGCGCTCTGCAATGCAGCTAAGACATTGAAATGAAGAGTGTTAAGAAAGAACCTGCTTGATGGGCTTATTAAATACATACTGCCACAGATGCATAATAGAATGGAGACAACTTAATTATAGTGATTATACAAAGATGCATTCTGTTGGGGCCTGCCAGTGGTAGGCATGTTGTATCTCTCCCCACCCACCGCAATCCCCTTGCCTTTTGTAGAGTAGAATGGCTGTGGAGAGGGAGGAAAACAACTCATGACTGCACATTTCAAAGGCATCAAGGCTGAGGGTGTTCTCAGTCCCCCCTTTTTATGAGCGTTGCATATGGAAGCAGCCAAAAAGCCATCGGCTCTCCGCCTCTTGGTTTGTGCTGTGGCACCACTGTAGGAGGACACACACTGAAATGCCAGCTTTGCCATACAATTTTCTATAATTGCAAGGACTGCAGGGAGACCCTCAAGCCAGCAGAGAAGGATTATAGCCCAGCCTTGTCTTTGATCAAGTAATTTTACCTAGCCTCACTAAGAATGCTAACCAAACAACATTCTTTCTCGTGTCAAGAGGAACAGTTTATTGATTGGCTGTCACAAATTTATAAATGTACATTGTCACTAGCCGCCCCCTGCCATGCATTGCTGTGGCCCACTCTGGTGATCTGGAAAATAAAGTAATGAGAAAGTGTTGGTTTCTAATATATGTTATTTCTTTATGCTTGTGGGTAAACACTGTATTTCTTGTTGTTTCTTTGTCAGTGTTGATGTGGAGATTGTCTGGTTTGCCTACTCTGCAACAGGCAACATATAATCATCCTTCTTTAGGGGTCCCTTTCAAATCTATGATACTATACCTGTGTGCGTGTGAATCATATATACCTATCCATATCTATGGCTGGATGGCTCTTTGTCAAGAGGGCTTTGATTACGTTTTCTTGCCCTGGTGAAGGGAGTTGGACTGGATGGCCTTAAGTATTTTCTGTTGGTCATGGGGGTTCTGTGTGGGAAGTTTGCCCCAATTCTGTTGTTTGTGAGGTTCAGAATGCTCTGTGATTGTAGGTGAACTATAAATCCCAGTAACTACAACTCCCAAATGTCAAGGTCTATTTCTCCCAAACTCCATCTGTGTTCATATTTGGGCATATGGAATATTCATGGCAAGTTTGGTCCTGATCTATCATTGTTTGAGTCCACAGTGCTATCTGTATGTAAGTGAACTACAACTCCCAAACTCAAGGTCAATGCCCACCAAACCCTCCTAGTGTTTACTGTTGGTCATGGGAGTCCTGTGTGCAATGTTTGGTTCAATTCCATCATTGATGGGATTTAGAATGCTTTTTAATTGTAGGTTAACTACAAATCCCAGCAACTACAACTCTAAAACAACAAAATCAATTTTTTTAGTGATGGTCACTCCTTGGGTTAGTAGGTATCTTGTGGCCAAATTTGGCAGCCATTTGTCCAATGGTTTTTAAGTTATGTTAATCCCACAAATGAACATTACATTTTTATTTATATAGATGAGCTCATACCTATTTAGCACATGTGCAAATAAAGATTAGTTTAGTTGTCACAATACAATCTATAATTGTCAAAGAAGAAAAACAAAAGACAATGGCTCAGTTATGTAGTCTTTCATTTCAATGCAGGGGGATTCTATTTTGTCCTTGAGCAGTTACTTGGTACAGTAGAGTCTCACTTATCCAACCTTCACTCATCCAACATTCTGTATTATCCAACACAGTCTGCCTCCCACCCCGATCCACAGCTGTTTCAAAAAAAAAAACCTGCCTATATTCCATAGGACACAGTTCTAAGTTAAAATATGCGTTGCTTCTCAAAAGTGAAATTAGTTGAGTTATGTTAATCCCACAAATGGACATTACATTTTTATTTATATAGATGTGCTTCTTGGAAGGAGAAATGCCACTTATAGACGTTATAGGAGAACCTCACAGAGATTTTTTTGTCTTCGTTTTTAGGCCTGTTCCTGGGGTTATTTGGGGTGCTGATTCAGAAAATTGCATTGGATAGACCACATCAGCTCTAGATTATTAAATATGGTTTTCTGTGGGTGAGTAGATGGCTACTGCTGGATGGCATGTGTTCTGTGTCGGAAACTAGAGCTGATGTGGTCTATCCAATTCACTTTTCTGAATCAGCACCCCAAAGAACCAAACCGAATCTAAAGTTGACCAAAAACTGATTCGTAACCCATTTGGTACTAATGTTGGAGAGTGGTCTCTGGTCAAAAAAATGTTGGAAACCACTGATTTAGAGTAAACACTTCATTTTCTTTTTTAAAAATAGAATTCTATCTTTTTTTCTCCTTCACCGCCCTCTGGTGGAACCACGAAAATCTTTAGGAGCTGGTTTGTGAAGAGAAGTGAACGTGGGAGTGTGTTGGGAATAAAGGTAAGAGCTCTCATCACAACAAGCCAAAGAGATGCATGTTTTGCAGCAGAAACACAAGAACAGTGAGTGGTAGTTTCAGTTGCTTCAGAGACACAGACTGGGAAACAAACCTAAGCTGTAGCAGGCAGAGTATATCTTGCACGCGTATACACCTGCTGCTTTTTCTTCTCTCAGATCTTCTTTTGCACAATCAGGTGAGTACAATGGGTAGTTTTACAATGTTTTTATTAGCAGCAAATTAGCACGCTAAATTGGAGGGATTTAAAAAATCAGGAAGAGAATCTTAACAAAGAAGGGCAGTCAGCCAATAAAAGACCCAAAATTGATTGATTATCTATACTAGGAATCTTGTGGGGTGAATTCAGCTGATATAGAAACTATGCAGACTTCCAGGTTACACATACCTGCTTGTCAGTTAGAATGATGCCACTTTTCAGTGAGCCAATTTTCAGTCGGCAATTTTCAGCTAGCAATAAGCGAATGAGACTGATTTCTTGTTTGTATACATATCTTACCTCCTCTGGCCCCGACGTGTCAATTGTACCATATTTGTAACATGCAAGGATTTATCTTTCTCTTATAAAATAATACATGTGCAAGAGGCTTAAATTATTGACTAGAAGAGGGGAAAGGCAAAACCTTCCTGCCTTTGGCCAGCAAGACCATTACATTAATCTTCCACATCTCTGATGGTTGTTCGGAGACAGAGGGTCCGTAGTTAACCAGACCCGTGTGAGCAGCATGGTGTGTAATAGCCAGGCCTTTGCTGAAGTCCACTCAGCTCCAGAGTACTTTCCTCCACTCTCTCTCTCTCTTTTGCTGCCTGTCCTCACTGAGTATTCAGGCAACAGCTGGAGCAAAGAAAACTAGTAAAACCCATCTGATTAGCACTGGCAACAGTGGTGCCAACCTGGCAGTAGGAGGGAGAGGCATACAAAGAAGCAGTGGCCAGGGATGCTGATCCATAGCTTGGAGAAGTTACTCTTTAAGATCATAGAATTTCTCCCACCCAGCCAAATAGATGTATGGTATTTATTATTATTTGATACATAACAAGATTAGTACCCAGCAAACGAGATCACTATGCTGGCTTTTGTATTTGATCACACGCCAGACACTTCCCAAGCAAAACAACAGAGAGGAAACAATCAGGGACATCTAATCACCTCTCAACAAAAGATTGCCCCAGGCACTAACAAGCCACACCAAACAACTGCCAGGGCATCAAATGCTAATCAAGGTGGTCAGTTGAAACATTCACACCTAGCTCCAACAGACAAGAGTTCTTTGTCCCACCCTGGTCATTCCACAGATATATAAACCCTTTTTCCTACTTCCAACAGACCTCACTACCTTTGAGGATGCTTGCCATAGATGCAGGCGAAACGTCAGGAGAGAATGCCTCTAGAACATGGCCATATAGCCCGAAAAAACCTACAACAACCCAGTGATTTTGGCCATGAAAGCCTTTGACAGCTTCCCAAGTATCTAGGACTGTGTGATGTATGGGCGAATAATACATGCAGATCCGAGGAGGGTGGCCTTTTGCAGCTGACAGATGGTAATTTTGTCAGTGCCGATTGTTTTTAAGTGCAGGCCAAGGTCTTGAGGCTGCACCCAGTGTTCCGATCACCACTGGGACCATCTTAACTGGCTTGTGCCAGAATTGCAGTTCTGTCTTTAAATCCTCATATCATGTAAGCTTGTTTATTTATTTATGGTATTTATTATTATTATTATTATTATTATTATTATTATTATTATTATTATGGTTTTGCCTAAGAATGGGAGGTTCCCATTTCTTATTTAGATCAGCTTGATTTCATGCTTTTCAGTAACTCTCATTTCCAAAGGTGTTGGGAACACACATCCTTCCAAATATTGTTGAACTGCAACTCCCATGATTTCTCACCAATGCCTATATTGGATGGGACTTATGGGAGTTAAAGTCTGACAAAATTGCAATGTGGCACTGAAGTGGCAAATCTGTAAGCCGCTCTGGGTTCCCCTTGGGGTAAGAAGAGCAGGGTATAAATATAGGAAATAAATAAACATCACAAAAAGGAAGCAAAAATTGGAGTTGATAATGTCTTGAGAATTTACAATAATTGTTATTGGTTTGTTTGATCTGTACTCATTATGAAAGCATTTATGTAACTTTCAATCCAACCACTGATTTCTTATTTCTCCAAGGGTTACAGATATTGTCATCAATAATGACCGGAGGTTTTGAAAAAGCATGTCACCGATGCATCTCAAAAATTGCCAGCAATGGTGGGTTCTTTGGGGAAAAAGGTGGGGGACTTGGGAAAATTGCCCTGTTACATTTTAAAGCATTTGAATATCTCCATTTAGACCCCCTTTACTGCTTGGGAAAATATGTGAGAACAGTTCTAATAATTTAGAATGGAATGTATTGTGTGGGATGCATACTGGATTTACTGTTTACTTTGAGCTCATCTACACTATGTAACTAATGCACTTTGACATCACTTTAATTGCCATGACTCAGTGCTATGGGATCCTGGGGCTTGGGTTTGAGAAGGCACCAGCGCTCTTTGGCACCGGAGGTTAAAGGTTTTCTAAAACTTCAACTCCCATGATTCTGTAGCCTTGAGCCATGGCAGTGAAAGTGGTGTGAAACTGCATTAATTCTACTGGGTAGATGCAGCCCTACAATGGCAGTATATTATTGTTTAATAGCTGATTAGTGGTTCTTAAGTGCCTCATTGTTATCCCAAAATCCACAAAAGAGTAATATTTCTATTGGCCAACTAAAATGTGCAAAACTGATTATGCTTTATTGGCTTCTTCATAAGGCAAAAGATGTTAATGTTGCATATGCAGAACCACCTTTTGTCTTGGGTGTTGTTCTTGTTGTTCAGTTGAAGGATCTCATGCTGTTCTCGTGTGGGGACTGGGACAATAGGCAATACATTTAACTCCTTTATCAGGGAATATTATTAATCAATTCTAGTTCTCCTGTGAAGCATGTTTAGCCTGCAGAAGAGAGAGCTGAGAGGAGACATGATGGCCATGTATAAATATGTGAGGGGAAGTCATGGGGAGGAGGGAGCAAGCTTGTTTTCTGCTGTCCTGGAGACTAGGATGCGGAACAATGGCTGGCTTCAAACTACAGGAAAGGAATTTCCACCTGAATATGAGGAGGAATTTCCTGACTGTGAGAGCTATTCACCAGTGGAACTCTCTCTCCTGGAGTGTGGTGGGGGCTCCTTCTTTGGAGGCTTTTAAACAGAGACTGGATGGCCATCTGTCTGGGGTGCTTTGAATGTTATTTTCCTGCTTTTTGGCAGGGGGTTGGACTGGATGGCCCATGAGGTCTCTTCCAGCTCTATAATTTTATGAAGGGATGTTAATTTTGGTGTTCTTTCCTTTGTTTTATAGTAAACTGGCTTTGTTTTCTCACAATGAAAATGATATAAAGCTAACTAGTAATTAATGCACAGATGCCCAAAATTTGATAGGACTTCGGATTGTTGAAAAAAGGGAAAAGTACTATCAAATATTGGGCATCTGTGTATTAATTGCTAGTTACCTTTATATCATTTTCATGGTGAGAAAACAAAGCCAGTTTTCCCCTTTTTCAACAATCCGAAGACTTTAACATTTATTTCCTTTACAGCTTGCTTTATTTTTGGACTCCTCGCTTTCCTAGCATTACCACTATCTATGGCTTTTACAGGTGAGTTGCTTAACAAAGAAAATAACAACCAAAATATATATTCTGAAGAAGAAATATTTCTCTGTGTGGTAGTGGTATGTAATGTCATGCTTGCACATTTATTATACTTGTTGTCAAGTATATAGATTAAGATAGATTAAGAAGGCGTCAAATCAAACATTATGTCCACAGCAATTTTTTTGCAGTGCGATTCTTTGGGCTTTAAGCCATCGCCTTTTACAGAAAATTTGGACTTTTAGGCTTGAGACTAATCCCCAGGTGGCATTGCTTGATTGTATCATTGTGAGCCTATCTACCAAGAAGTGGTTCTTTCCCAGTTTGAATTTTACACACACACACACACACTTAAAAAGGTTTGTATATGCACATAACTTGGGCTGCATCTGCATTGACCATTTAATGCAGTTTGAAGTTAGCTTCAAAAAGTGTTGCAGGACTTGACAGCTAGACAATGCATGCCACAGAAGGGAGCTGCAGTGCGCTCTTTGCTAGACAAACACGAATGAAGTTGGAAAGTTGGAAAGGTCCGAAAGAAAGCCCTAACTACACAACAGTGTGCTCCAATGTAAATCACATCAGAAGGTGAAATTGGCTCTACAGAATGTGATTTGCCTTAGGGACATCTGAAGGGCATTCCAGTAGAGTAGTTGTTTTCAACCTGTGGGTCCCCAGGTGTTTTGGCCTACAACTCCCAGAAATCCCAGCCAGTTTACCAGTTGTTAGGATTTCTGGGAGTTGAAGGCCAAAAACATCTGGGGACCCACAAGTTGAGAACCACTGCAGTATAGGGAGTTAAAAAAATTATTTGCTGCAGCTCATGTGGATCCTAGAACCAGTTTGAAGCCAGCTGCTGTAATTTGTGTAATCACCCTTCCAGGCCTCAAACTGGTGCCAGGATTGCCTGTGTAATCATCCACATCTTGAAGCTGCTTTCTTCAATACTGGAACAAAACTGTCCTGAGTGGTCAATGTAGATGTGGCGTTGCATATCAGTGTGTTAGTATAATTGAACTTCTGCTTAACACAGTGGTTCTCAACCTGTGGGTCCCCAGATGTTTTGGCCTTCAACTCCCAGAAAGCCTAACAGCAGGTAACCTGGCTGGGATTTCTGGGAGTTGTAGGTCAAAACATCTGGGGATCCACAGGTTGAGAACCACTAACAGAAAACACATTTATTTACATGCATGGGGGGGGGGGAGGGCAAAAACCCTCAACAAACCCATGTGCCCAAAAATAATGTAAGCCTTTTGTAAGTAAACAAAAACACATTGAGCCTTCTAGATACCCCCTTGAAGACTTCTTCCAAAATTAATCCAGGGGTGGCTTTTTCTGTCACCAGCCTCCACTTATGATTTCCATGTTCATGGCCAAACTTATTTATCTATGCATTTTTAACATGCTGGGGGTAGGTAGTCATGCAGACTTATCTACATTCACCTTTTTCAGTTTTATCATTCATGCCCAATAAGAGATTCAGTAATCAGCTGCTGTTTACCTTGCCTATTGTAGGTAAGGACTCATGGCTGCAGTTGGATCAGCCACAGAATAATGCCACTCTTTCTCAACTTGTTGTTTCTGCAACACAGTGCTGCAAACTGCCATCCAAAGACTGTGTTTCTCCATCCTTCCGTCACCTCCCAATGTTGCTAAAAAGTAAAACCATTCAAGAGAACAAGGAGAAAGAAGTGATGTCAGGAGGTGGGGCATAAAGGGACTATATAAAGGAGCTTCTTTGTTAGAGACTTTGTTAGCAGAGGTATATTTATTGTTTGTTGAAATGGATCCAAACTACTCAAGGGATTATATAAACCAATATTGTTTTATTATTCTGCAGGCATGAAATTTTTAAACAGCTGTCCAGTCCAGCCACTCATTCCCTTGTATCTTCTTGTGGGTGGTGTAGTTGGCACTTTGAAGGTACTGTTGTGCATGTGATAATATTTTCTATGAGGTAATTTATGATATAAGCATACTTGTAGCAAGGTTCATGCATAGAGACATAAAAAGAAAAACTCAGATAATTGTATCTCTGTGAATTCAATGAAATTAAAGTTTTGATGTCTGGATAAAATGGTAACTTTTTCTGTGACCAATTATGGCCTTTTCTTCAAAACAATATTTTTTTCTAAATTATTTTTTATTAAAGTTTTGTTAAAGGAAAATAATAGGGCAGGGGGAAGACCAAAGAAAGAAAGAAAGAAAGAAAGAAAGAAAGAAAGGAAGGAAGGAAGGAAGGAAGGAAGGAAGGAAGGAAGGAAGGAAGGAAAGAAAGGAAAGAGAGAGAAAATATTGAATGGCACCATGGGTGTCGATTCACACTTGTGAAAGGATTCCTATAATCTTATGTGGGCGAAAAGTTATGCAGCAGTGCATTAAAAAAACAAAACAAAAAACAAAACCAAAATGCTAATTGTTACTTTCCTGCAGAACAGGGTCAACTATTTCAAGGTGGAAACTGGAAACTGGCAATTGTCTGGGAATGCTGTTTAAAACTCCCAAAACTGAAATAAAATATTGATTTGGGAGACTAAACTGAGGGATACTTTATTTTTAGTCATATTTTTCCTTCTCAGAATTAACAGTGTGCCATTTGGAGATATAGAAAGAAAAGTCTCCTCAGAACAGATTGATAGTCAATGTATTGTCAAAGGCTTTCATGGCTGGAATCACTAAGTTGTGAGTTTTCTGGGCTGTATGGCCATGTTCCAGAAGCATTCTGGAACATGTTGTGAGACCTATTGGAAACTAGGAAAATATATATCTGTGGGAACCCAGATTGATAGTCACTTAGAGAATTGTTTGTTTGTTTTGAGGTGTGTTTGTCTACATGATAATGGAGACTGGTGAATATTTCTATGGCAAGACATCTGTGTTGTGTATCACAGGGTGAAATCAGTCAGGCTTATTTTTTCCTGGCATGGACTTGCAACATTTAACAAGAAGGATGTTTTGCTTTCTGATTTCTCTGCATGATTAGAAACTCTTAAAAGCACCAAAGTGATGCTGAGAATGGTGGTTTGGAATAAACCCGGTGGATGTTTAACAGGGTACATAATATCTGCTGTTACTTGCCCTCCAAAGCAAAAACAAACATCCCCTTTTAACATTGCTATATGACAACTACTTATTTATAAATGACTTCCATTTGACAGAAATACTAATATTCCTCAGTCAAGGATGTAGTTGTGTTATTGCGCATTGTTTCTTGAACAAATTTGGTACCAGAGGTAGAAATAAAATTAAAATAATATGGATGAGATCCTACACAACAAAAACGAAAAGCAGTTCAATAGGAGCCCTTGGTGGTGCAATGGGTTACACCCTTGTGCCAGCAGGACTGCTGACCAAAAGGTTGGTAGTTTGAATCCGGGGAGCAAGGTGAGGTCCCATCTGTTAGCTCCAGCTCCTCATGTGGGGACATGAGAGAAGCCGCCCACAAGATGGTAAAACATCCAGGCATCCCCTGGGCAACGTCTTTTCAGACGGCCAATTCTCCCACACCAGAAGTGACTTGCAGTTTCTCAAGTTGCTCCTGGCATGAAAAAAAAACCCCACATTTTTCAACCAGAAGCAAAAATGCACAAAACAAATAAAGCTGCCATCCTGGTAAGCCTTGCATCAGTAAAACATTTTAAAGAGTTTGGAAGACTTCCAGTTATGACTTTTTCTTTCTCCAACCTCCACTGTTCTTATGATTTCCCTTCTAGTGACCAAATGTATAGATCTACCAGATAAACTTGTGTATATCTGTGTATATCTTGTGTTAGTTAGTGAGGAAGGCTTCATGTACAAGTCAAGAGCAGGTTTGGGACCTAAATTATGGGCTTTTATATGACCCTTGGATAAGTTGAGGGTCATTCCCCAATTCCACCTCAGGAGGCCAGTAACCCCTGGCCACCACCATCACCATTTCTCCACCTAGGTGTTCAGAAAGGCCAGAAGCACTGCCACAGTGGAGAGGGTAGGAGGGGTGTTTTTTTTAAGGTTCTCCCAGGACAAATTAAGTTCTTGCCTTTCACCAATCTACTTAGAGAAGGGAATGGTTCTATTTTTGTTGGAAGAGTAGTTACATTCAGTTGTGGATATGTTGCCCCACAGAAGATATTAGGACACCTTTCACAAGTGATGTTTTGACTAAAATTTCTCAACTTATGCATGGGTGTACAGGTAGTACCCAAGTTGCAAACATCTGGCTTATAAATGATTCCAAGTTAGGAACAGGGATGAGACAACAGGGCGTGAAAGAAATCTACCCCTAAGGAGGAAAATCCATTCCTGGAAGAGTTATCATGGGGAAAAGGTGTTTCCACGGAAGCTTCATCACCAATCCTTGTTTCCATAATTTATTTATTTATTTATTTAGCAGTTTTGTATACCGGTCTTCTCACCTCTGTCGAGGGACTCAGGCCGGTTTCCAACAGTAATATCACAAACAGTCATTAAAAACATCATATTACATATTAAACTAAAAACATTAAAATAGCAAAATGCAATAACAAGCCAAATTCTTCACAATCTAATAATCCAAGGGACAGAAAATGAGATGAAATCTTTAGAACAGGGGCACAGAAAGCAAAACAAACACCAGAGTTGTGTTAACCCTTCGCTATGCTATCCAAAGCTTGCTTGCGTGTGGGTGTGGGTGTGGGTGAGTGGAATTACACTTTAAAATGTGCCTATTCTGACTTACATAAAAATTCAACTTAAGAAGAAGAAATCTACAAAACCTGTCTTGTTTGTAACTTGGGGGCTGCCTCTGTACAGTAAACTTTCTGAACTTGCTGGGGTTAGTGAGGAAGGCTTATCTTCTGCTCTTTTGTCTGTTATGTTGTTCATATGTGCCCGGTAAGGGATTCTGAAGGCAGCTGCCATTTTCCTGGTCTGTTCTAGTAAGGCACAATAGCTGTATCAGCATTGTCGAGAGAGCAATCCTGTTCTTTCCCAACTCAAGAAGCACCATATCCTTTATTACGGACATGCGGCAGCCCAACACCAAAGATCTGTTTTTCTCCACTCTCCTTCACCATTCTTCAAAAGCTAATGCAGCTAAAAATACTTTGCAGCTAGAGAGAGAACAAAGGAAGAAAAGAGCGGATGAGTATGCCTCAAAAGACTTTGTAGAATTGAATTTCTCCATCAAAGGCTTTGTTATCTGAAGTGTGTCTGTAGTGTTTATATAGCTGAAGCTAATGAACACAAGTATGGATTCGTAATCACTGCAGTTCACCTTTTTCTTTTCATTATTGTCAGAAAAAATGGCAGGTTGGGTGTGTTGGAGGTTATAGGGAGCTACAAATACTGCCATGAGGGTAACATGCCAGGCCATGCTTCACCTTTTTAGTTAAACATCAAAGAAAGTTACAGGGTTATGAACCATCCCCTTATGAACCACCTAGCACCTTAAGATCATCCGGGGAGGCCCTGCTCTCAATCCCGCCTTCATCACAAGTGCGGTTGGCGCAGATGAGAGACAGGGCCTTCTCAGTGGTGGCCCCTCAGCTATGGAACGCCCTCCCAAGGGAGATAAGATTGGCTCCCTCCCTCTTAACATTTTGGAGAAAAGTTAAAACATGGTTGTTTGAGCAAGTGTTTGCAAATGCAGAGTAACTGACATAGGAAACCGAATGATGGAATTGGACAATTTTTTTATAATAAGGAGATGCTAATGATATTGGTTTTTATTGCTTCTGCTATGTTTTATATTGTTTTAATGCTTTAATTTGTATTATGATATTATGTGTACTGATTTGTTGTAAACCACCTTGAGTCGCCGACAGGCTGAGAAAGGCGGTATACAAATACAGTAAATAAATAAATAATAATGATAGTGGAAGTGTAACTGACGTGCCATTTTGAGACAAAAAAACCATCTTTTTCAAATTCCATCTCTATATTCTGTTGGGATTTTTACCATTTCCAAATAGATCAGTTGTGTTTATCGGTTGTTGAGTCTTCAGCCGTAATAAATATACCTGAATTAAATTTATTGATGTGAAGTGATTGCAATTAAAAAGCTGCTAATTGTGAGTTCATTGAATATTAAGATGCCAGACTTTGCTGTGTCTGTGTTGTTTCTCTATGAGTTATTCTTGTGTGTGCAATGTGTAGGTTGCCCTTCTGCTTTTCGATTCCACCAGGATGAGGCAGCTGCTTTCCAAATCAGTCATGATTGACGATGATGACGACGACGAATTTCCATGGAGGCAGAACGCTCACCGATATTATATTCACCTCACTCTCAGCCTCTTCCTCTTCCTCTGGTTCATCCTGGGGAACTACTGGGTGTTTTCAGTGTACTTGCCCAATTTCATACCACCTTTCCATCATCCCCAGGATTACTGTGATAAAGTACTGTATGTCTTTGCCATTGGTGTGCTTGTCATTAGCCACACTGTGTTGGTTTTGCTGATCTTCTGTACCTGCGGTGTATATTTCTGCTCCAGGAAACCGCATGTGGCAGAGGATGATTAAAAGTTGCACAGATGGGACCACAAAACAATTAGAAAAGTGGGTTTGAACGGCTTGGGATTTGCTGGTTGTGTGTTCTGGGCATCCTCATACTGCATATAACTAGCAGATTCCATTTGTGGAGGTTTTGATTGTGAGATCTGTTTCACATACTTATGATGCCGAATTCCTCCATGGAGGAATGGAGGAAAATGTATTTATTTGACAGCTGTAAGTCTCCAAATGTGTTCAAGCAACTTACTGAAAGAGATGATGATCAATGTACTTCTTGCTTTTTCGGCATTCCATGTCGTTCTGTAATTGAATTACAAAAGTAACTTTTTTCTGGAAAGTAATTCATATGTCTTAAAAGCATTTAAAATCATCACTTCCTCAAAAATTTTGAAATGGTACAGGAGCCCATGCCAGTTTCCTGTCTGACAGCCCTGCTGTCCAATTTGTCTAATTTTATTTATTCTTACTTCCAACATTTGTACCCCATCCTTCTCAACCTCCGAAGGCTTACAATGGCACCAATTTGATGCCAACACATACAGAATACATATACAATATATCACAACATTACACATTAAATAAAACCATTAATTTAAAATCCATTTAAAAACATTATTAACAACCATGTAGCCAAATCCAATCCAATTCAGCATCCCAAGACTTTGTCAGAGCCTTTTTTGTTGTACAGATAATAAATTTTTTTAAAAAATACCATCGTATACTTGACTAAATCTTGGAAGTCTATTTTGAAATCTCTATTACCATTAAAATTAATAGTGCTGCGATATACATTGAGGGCCGGCATGCTGTAATTGTCTGAGTGGTGGGCTGTCATAGCATCTATCCCAGTGGTTCTCAACCTGGGGTCCCCAGATGTTTTTGGCCTACAACTCCCAGAAATCCCAGCCAGTTTACAAGCTGTTAGGATTTCTGGGAGTTGAAGGCCAAAAACATCTGGGGACCCCGGGTTGAGAACCACTGATCTATCCATTGAGTGTGTACATCCACCTCTTTCGGCATTTTATTGCTACTATATGTCAATTTCGTATCTGTGTTTACTGCAAGTTTTTTATATATTTTTGTGTTTTTATCTATGTGATTTATGGTATATCTTATGTTCCTATGCTTTTGACTATGTTGTACCCCGCCTCGAGCCATTAAGAGAGGAGGGTAATAAATAACATTATTATTATTACTATTATTATTTATTATTATATTGCATTAATGTATTCCTTAGTATGCCAGCTTGCCTTTCCCTCCTATCCCTATCTGTTTTACTTTAAAATGTTCCTGAAGCATTTTGTATCAAATCACTCTTTTTCAGCTTTTAAAAATGGAAAACTTTCTACCATTACATCCAATAGTCCTTCTTTGCCTTCTAACCATCTATTGTATAGATGGGCTAGATTGTCTTAATATCCTGAGAAACACTGTCATTCTTAGCTAGCATCTCAAATGAGGGGGAAATAGTCTTAGCTGTTATGTTGCCGAAGGCGTTGCAGCTTCAAAGCCTGGCTACTTCCTCGAGCAGTCTTAGATGTTGAGGATGCCATGAGTTCTAGTCACAAAGACTATCATTGATCTCCATTATATACAATGGCAGACAATATTATTCTGGATGGAGAAAGTGAACATCAAGGTGATGAATTACTTAAATGAAAAAATATGTTCAAGATACTGGTTGGGCATCCCTTATCTAGAATCCTGATATCCAAATTACTCCAAAACTGTCCACATGAGTGGCTGAGATAGTGACATTTTTGCTTTCTGATAATTCAGTGTACAGCACAAAATTAATACAAATACTATATAAATTTACCTTTCAGCTATATGTATAAGATGTGTATGAGACATAAATACCGGGTAAATGCTTAGACTTGGGTCCCATCTCCTAGGTAACTCATTATGTACAGATATGTAAGCACAGCTACTCCAGAATCTGGAAACAAATTCCAAAACAGTTCTTGTCCCAAGTATTTTACACAAGGGATACTCAACCGTATGTAAATGAACTATTAAAATAGAACGATCTTGCTCTTTACCTCCAGCTTTGCTGCTGAGAAACTTATAAAACATTATAGAAATGCTTTCTATCATTAGGTGTGTGGGATATAATATCTGAATTCGAAAAAGTATGTGCATATGTGTTAGTTATGACAATAACCTAGCCAGAAAAAACTTCAAGTGTATCATGCATAATACATTATGTAAATTTGTCTATTTGTACATTTTATTACTAAGGGATGATGAAAATGTTGTGTTTGCTTTTCTTATTTTTCATCTTTGCCAAAATGTTTCTGGGTCATAATTAAACAAGGATGATAAAGACTCACTTAAGTCTCAGAGGAGTGATTTGTTTTATTAGCACTAACATGGAAACGGATCTGGCTTCTGGCTTCATGTCTGATTTTATCATATGCCATGCTTACAAATGTAACATACATTGTCATGGGAGCCTCTGAAACATGGTGCTTTAGGATAGATAGATGCAGGGTTTTTCAACACTGATTTAAAAAGTTGTACTTAGGGACACTCAGGTGCAAATATACAAAGTCTGTGATCATTTGTTTGCATTGTATTTATTTGTGCTTTAATCCATTTTAAAACCTTGCCTTTTGCACTAAAATTTTGCAGAACTCTGGGCTTTTAGGCATATGGCCAGGCCTCCAGACAGCACTGTTTGCCTGTGTGATTTTGGGGAGGAGATAGTGGTATTAGGAATTGGTTGGTAGGAAGTTGGCTTGGCTTACCCAACTTCCTACCAACCAATTCCTAATACCACTAACTCCTCCCCAAAAAAACTCTGGCATAGACACTGAGAACTGGGAAGCCCTGGTCCTTGAGCGCTCCTGCTGGAGGTCAGCTGTGACCAGCAGTGCTGTAGAATTTGAAGAGGCACGAATAGAGGGCGAAAGAGAGAAACGTGCCAAGAGGAAGGCGCGTCAAGCCAACCCCGCCCGGGACTGCCCTCCACCTGGAAACCGATGCCCTCACTGCGAAGATGCAGATGAATAATATGGCTCCACAGTCACCTACGGACCCACCGCCAGGACACTGATCTTGGAAAACTATCCTACTCAGGCAATGAGGTATCGCCTAAGTAAGTAAAAGTTGGAAGTTAGCATTCCCATCAGAAAGTTGTTCTTTCCCAGGTTGAATTTTAATTGTTTTTAAAGGAAGGTTTGTATGTGCAGATACTCACATACCAGTATTAAGGCTCCATCTAAAATCCAAATTATCTGCTTTGAACTGAATTATATTAGTTTACATTGCCATATAAGGTAAAGGTAAAGGTTCTCCCCTAACATTAAGTCGTGTTCGACTCTGGGGGGTGGGGCTCATCTCCACTTCTAAGCCAAAGAGCTGGTGTGATCCAAAGACACCTCCAAGGTCATGTGGCCAGCATGACTGCATGGAGCATCATTACCTTCTTGCTGGAGTGGTACCTACTCACATTTTCATGTTTTTGAACTGTTAGGTTGGAAGAAACTGGCGCTAACAGCAGGAGCTCACCCCGCTCCCTGGATTCAAACCGCCGACCGTTTGATCAGCAAGTTCAGCAGCTCAGTGGTTTAATCTGCTGTGCCACTGGGGGCTCGTACATTGCCATATAATCCAGGTCAAAGCAGATAATCTGGATTTTAGATGGCAGTGTAGAAGGAGCCTAAGTTTGTCAATAGAAATCCCAGTAACTCTCTTCATTTTTCCATAAATTGTGTTGCCTTTTATGTGTGTGTGGTTGTGGAGACGTGTAATTACGATAGGGCCAATGACTCCCCCTCCTTTTTTTTCTCATTCAGATTTTGTCATAATCAAGAAATGCCATAGCTGTGCAAAGAAAAATATGCATGGCATATTTTCTTTCTCTGGCAAGGCAGTGTGTGGGCTGATTAAAGGAGAACGACACATGGTTTATTTTACATTATGCCACATTATGTGATAAGTAAGCCTTGGTGAATTTCCCAATTCCTACACAACCATTAACCACTCTGAGTCGCCTGATGGCTGAGAAGAGCGGTATACAAGTGAAGTAAATAAATAATAATAATAAATAATAAAGGGAGAGGAACCCTGTTTATTATTTCACTTGGCAACCCTCCTGTCACAGATTTCCTTCCAGGAATCCATAGCATTGAGCCATGGCAGTTAAAAGTGGTACCAACTGCATTAAGTCTACAGTGCAGAAGCACCTTTTGAGGTCTCAAGTTGACGTCAATATGAAAGCAGCGAGCAAAAACAATAAAGGGCGATTTGGGGTTGCTCACACTTTCATTTGCACATGTCCTTATCTGTGACAGGAGGGTTGCCAAGTGAAATAATAAACAAGGCTCCTCTTCCTTTAACGGTTGTGTAAAAGTGGGAAATTCAGCAGGGTTTACTTATCAGACTGTAGTGTAATGTAAAATAAACCACGGGTAGTTCATGTTTGATCAGCCCACACACTGCCTTGCCAGAGAAAGAAAATATGCCACGCAGATGAACAATAAAGAACAAGTAGTTTACCTCTTTATAGTTCAGAACAACATAGATAGATAGATAGATAGATAGATAGATAGATAGAAAATATCATCAGTTGCACCAACTCACTAAATGTCCTTTCAGCAGCCAAGAAGCAAATCAGTCTGGGCCCTTCCACAGAGCCCTATATCCCAGGATATCAAGGCAGAAAATCCCACATTATCTGAGTGTGGACTCAGATAACCCAGTTGGAGTTTTGCTAAGGCCCCTTCCACACGGCTGAATAAAATCCCACATTATCTGCTTTGAATCTGGATATATGGCAACGAGGCCTCAGGTAACACAGTTCAAAGCAGAGATTGTGGGATTTTCTGCCTTGATATTCTGGGATATAGGGCTGTGTGGGAGGGCCTTAAGTCTCTCTCTACTTCTCTCTGCACCTGCATAGCTCAAGCCTGAACAAAAATGTAAGTGTCTAAAAGTTCTAGGCTCAACCATGATCCCAACCAATCAGCTTCATGCATCTTATTTTGCAGTTGACACACTAACTGATTCCCTGCATGCTCCAACACACACAAACAACACTTGCTTGCTCAAATTCCTCCTTTTGAAAGAGGCACCCAGTTCCTTTTCCCATAAAGTTAGGCAACTGAAATCACAGCTCTCTTCTTTAATTACACAAGGGAGGAGTCTGCTTTGGGCGTGGCTACGTTACGTCATATAGCCCCGCCCCTTTTCCCCAGCGGGGTGGTGCTTTTGTTGACATAGGGATGCCCGTTGCCGTCCCTCCCCATTCGAGCCAGTGGTTTCGCCCGCCATGTCCATATACAGGAACTCGGTGTGGTTTATGAAGGGACTGAACCAATACTGCCGGTACGAAGGGGGGGGGTTGGAGTGGGAAATGTGCTTAAGCGGGAGAGCCCCTTGGAAGAAGGCTCGAAGTGGAGGAGCCGCTATCCCCTCGTTAGGTCTCTCTAGAGATGTTTGTATAACAAGCCAGAAAGGGTATAGAGAAAAGAAAGAACTCGTCAACACTTCGGGGCTCTCCCGCGATAAGGGCAGCCATGTGCGGGGTTGTGCCATTCATTGTGCCACTACGTTCGGTGGGGAGCCCGGAAGTGTCAAGTGATTCTACACTTGCACGCCTCTTGGTTTGTGTACGGGAAGGCAAATGGGGCAGAAGGAGGGAAATCAAAAGTTTTGTGGTCTTACCTGGAATCTGTAAATGCTCCAAAATTATCCACATGGGTGGTTGAGACAGTGAGCCCTTTTGCAGGGTGTGTAAACTTTGCTGCATGCACAGAATTATTAAAAATAGTATGACATTCCCTCTAGGTTGTAAAACATAGATTAGATTCCCAATTTTGGAGAATGCTGTTTCCTGCAGTTTGGTCTTGTGAGTCCAATCCCTCGGAGGCCTTCTCTACAGCCATATGATCCAGATTATCAAATCAGATAATCATAGAATCACAGAGTTGGAAGAGACCTCGTGGGCCATCTAGTCCAACCCCCTGCCAAGAAGCATTCAAATCACCCCTGACAGATGGCCACCCAGCCTCTGCTTAAAAGCCTCCAAAGAAGAGGCCTCCACCACCCTCTGGGGCAGAGAGTTCCACTGCTGAACGGCTCTCACAGAAAGTTCTTCCTAATGTTCAGGTGGAATTTCCTTTCCTGTAGTTTGAAGCCATTGTTCCACGTCCTAGTCTCCAGGGAAGCAGAAAACAAGCCTGCTCCTCCTCCCTGTGACTTCCTCTCACATATTTATACATGGCTATCATGTCTCCTCTCAGCCTTTTCTTCTTCAGGCTAAACATGCCCAGTTCCCTAAGCCGCTCCTCATAGGGCTTGTTCTCCAGATCCTTGATCATTGTAGTCGCCCTCCTCTGGACACATTCCAGCTTGTCAATATCTCTCTTCAATTTTGGTGCACAGAATTGGACACAGTATTCCAGGTGTGGTCTAACCAAGGCAGAATAATCCACATTATCTGCTTTGAACTGGATTATCTGAGTCTACACTGTCATTTAATCCAGTTCAAATCAGATAATCTAGATTTTATATGGTAGTATAAAACGGGCCTGAGTTGCCAATAAAAGCCGGGAAGCACCTTGTTCAAGTTTCTCGACTGCATGAGCTCAGTAGATGATTTCTAACCTGATCCACACTTCCAATTAATGAGATGCTGAATACATTGATGTGGGAATTACGAGCTCACCCCATTGTTGTTGTGTGCCTTTGACTCTGATGGGGGTTTTTTTTGGCAGAATTTGTTCAAGGGGGGTTGGCTTTGTTCTTCCTTTGAGGCTGAGAGAGTGTGACTCCCAACTTCACCCAGCCCTGCCACGCAGCCATACATCCCAGAATATCAAGGCAGTGAGCCCCTGGTGACACAGTGGGTTAAACTGCTGAGCTGCTGAACTTGTTGACTGAAAGGTTGGCGGTTCGAATTCAGGGAGAAGGGGGAGCTCCCGGTGTTAGCCCCAGCTTCTGCCAATCTAGCAATTCGAAGACATGCAAGTGTGAGTAGATCAGTAGATCTATGGAAAGGTAATGGCGCTCCATGCAGTCGCATGTTGCATGTTCCAGAGTAGGCAAACCAGACACTCTCCACATCAATACTGACAAAGAAACAACAAGAAATATTGTTTACCCACAAGCAGAAAGACATTACATATATTAGAAACCAACACTTTGTCATTACTTTATTTCCCAGATCACCAGACTGGGCCACAGAATTGCGTGGCAGGGGATGGCTAGTTGCTTATAAGGAGGGAAAGAAAACATGTCTGGTTGACACCAGTTTAAGGCTAACCAATTTATTTCAGCACAGACTTTCAGAGGTTACATCCCACTTCTTCACCATAAGGTGGGCTCCATAATTCAGAAATTACTTGAAGACACACATTATCTACACTAACGGAACTGTTGCAGCACAGTGGGTTGGTGTGATTTAGGCCCCTTCCACACAGCTGTATAAATCCCAAATTGAACTGGATTATATGACAGTTTGGATTTGGATAATCCAGTTCAAAGCAGTTATTGTGGATTAACTGCCTTGATATTCTGGGTTCTATGGCTGTGTGGAAGGGCTCTTAAGCTTGCCCAAACCTCACTTTCTATTGCCTTCTGCAGGAGTGGCTATGAGTCGGCAAGCAAGCGCTTTGTTCCCAGCGACTTGGAAGTGGATGTAACGGGAAGGTCATTCATGGTAACTGGAGCAAACAGTGGTATTGGCAAAACAACTGCAAAAGAGATAGCTAAGAGGGGTAAGTTCACGCAGTTGTACTTTGTCTGAGACTGGTATGTCTAAGGACACTTTGTACACGCTCACAACTCTTACCAGTACTTTCTTTTCCTAATTGTGGATGGAAATCTGGGGGAATAGTATTCAAAAAGATGTCACAGTGGGCTTTGCATTTTTTGTATGATGGATTGACACTTTGACTACAATTTCTAGACTTATACATGAGTATGCATATGCAATTGGGTATTTTGTTTTAGTATATGTTTATTTGTATTTGTTTGCATGCATTTCTATTTGCAATCATTATTGTATGTGTAATTTGTAAAATATCATTTATAGCAACAAATTACAAATAAAATCCTGACTTCACAAAATAAAACATCAGCGTATCTCAAGATATTTTGATTTCTATTCCACTGATTCTTACTAAACTCCTTCAGGGGGAATAGTTCATCTTGTTTGCCGAAACAAAGACCGAGGTGAAGAAGCCAAAAGAGAAATAACCACAGAAACTGGAAATCAGGTAAGATTTGTTCTTGGTTGTATTCTTCAATGTTATGCTTTATTGTATAATTACAGTTGTACAATTACTGGAAAAATTGTGGGGGTTTTTTTCTAAGTAATTTGTGATGTTGAGGTCTGGGTGCTAGTTCTGTCAGTCATTTCACTTGACTGAATCAACTTGGTTTCTGCGGATCTCCCATGATGGACTTGAACACGAACCAAAGGATACAAAATCCATTAGGAAGAACCTCTTTACTGTAAGACCTGTTTGAAAGTTGAATGAAGGGTGGTGAACTCTTCATCTCTGAAAGACTTTAAGTAGAAGTTGGAAGGACATATTTCAGAAGTGCCTTAGTTGCACATTCCTACATGGCAGTGGGTTAGACAAGATGGTCTGTGCTGTCCCTTCTGATGATGGTTTATTTACTTACGTTAGTTAGTTACGACATTTATATGCCGCCTTTCTCACCCTGAAAGGGACTCAGAGTGGCTTACAAGATATATATATATATATACATACAATATATTATATTATTAGCATAGTACAATATCAGTATTATATATTACTATATTGTACTATACCATTAGTAATATTACATGTAATATAAAATATATAATTATAATGTCATATTATTAGTAGTATTGTATTGTATTACATTATAGTAAAGATAAAGGTTTTCCCCTGACATTTAAGTCCAGTTGTGTCTGACTTTGGGGTATGGTGCTCATCTCCATTTCTAAGTCGAAGAGCCAGCTTTGTCCATAGACACCTCCAAGGTCATGTGACTGGCATGACTGCATGGAGCACCGTTACCTTCCCGCTGGAGCAGTACCTATTGATCTACTCACATTTGCATGTTTTCGAACTGCTAGGTTGATAGAAGCTGGGACTGACAGCAGGAGCTCACACCACTCCCCGGATTCAAACCTGTGACCTTTTGGTCAACAAGTTCAGCAGCTCAGCGCTTTAACCCACTGTGCCACCGGGGCTCCCATATTACATTATAATATTATGTATAAATGTATATACAATATATTACGTATATTACATTATATTATATTATTAGCATTAAAGCAGAAAGCAGCTATTTTCCAGTGAACAGACAATACAACAAAGAGTACACACCAGGTACCAGAGATCCAGCTAGTTTTTGTATTTTATCTCTGTCTTCTGGGGGAATTGCAACAGGGCTCCTAATTCTTCCTGTTGTACCAAGATTGCCTAAGAGGGATGGGTGGAAACCTGAATTGTCAGGGGAACAGACTCCCATGGATTGCATCAGCTGCTTTGAATAAGTGAGGGCTGAGCTGGGATTTTCTGTGTAGTGATGTAACTATGATGCTTACGCATATACAGGATTATAATCAGAGTAGGAGCCCCCGGTGGTACAGTGGGTTAAACCACTGAGCTGCTGAACTTGCTGACTGAAAGGTTGCCAGTCCAAATCTGGAGAGTGGATTGAGCTCCCACAGTTAGCCCCAGCTCCTGCCAACCTACCAGTTCAAAAAAATGTAAATGTGAGTAGATCATTAGGTACTGCTTTGGCAGGAAGGTAAGCGGCGCTCCATGCAGTCATGCCAACCACATGAACTTGGAGGCGTCTATGGACAATGCCGGTTCTTCGGCTTAGAAATGGAGATGAGCACCACCCACCAGAGGCAGGCACAGCTAGACTTAATGTCAAGCGGAAGCCTTTAACTTTTAATCAGTTTTACAGATAATTCATATACTTTTAAGAACTACAGGGTTACCTCCTTTTAGCACCTTGCTTTCTGATGCTTCGCTCGTTCACCAGAGCTAAGAGATTGCCATGTACTATATTTTCAATCCTGGTCTGCTCTTTCAACCACACACTGCTTCTTTTTCTCTTCTGTGGAACGAGCATGCTGCTTTTCTCCCACTCAGTTCACTGGCATCCCTCTCTTTCTCTCTGTTGACATAGCACCATCTAGTGTACACTCTTGCATTTGAAAGACTGGTAAAAGAAAATACTGGGTTCCACTTTTCAACAATTTGCAGTTTTCTGACAGTGCCCTGATCCCCAAACTGTCAAATAACAGAGGGAGGTCTGTATTCCTCGTAGGAATGGTGGACAGCATGCAGCTAATGAACTAAATGCTACCCTCCTACCCAGCTTTAAGATTACTACAGTGCGAAAGGTCATGAATTTGAAGCCAGCCCGGGTCAGAGTGAGCTTCCGACCAATTTGTGTAGCTTGCTGTCAACCTTTGCAACCCAAAAGACAGTTGCATCTGTCAAGTAGGAAATTTAGGTACCGTTATGCAGAGAGGCTAATTTAACTAATTTACGACACCATAACAATCTCCAGCAAGCATGCAAAAAATGAGGAAGTACTTCATCAGTGTCACAAATGGACTGTGAAGCGACAGCTCCCGTGGTGGCCAGAATGCCCTCATCAAAAAGCAGGAATGTTAAATAGCCTCTATGTGTCTATATATGTTGTGTATCTATGACATTGAATGTTTGCCATGTATATGTACATTGTAATCCGCCCTGAGTCCCCTGCGGGGTGAGAAGGGTGGAATATAAATACTATAAATAAATAAATAAATCTACTAACAGCAAAACATGGTAAAACATCATTAAAAACTAACTATAATTAAAATTCAAAAACCACTTTTGTTTATTGTTCACCTCAACCACAGATATGATTTGAGGTTCCTTCTCTTTTGTTAAATGTTATTTAGAAACGTAGATGTGGTTATTGTTATTACTTACTGGGTAAGTGTTGTTAAAAGTGTGTTAAGTGATACATTTTTGGACATCTTTGGGTATTTTGTGTGTCTTGAATGCTTTGCTGTGCCAGTTATATCAGATTTGTAAACATCTTTGGATATTTTACATAGACAAGTAAGATTGAAAGTGAAGTTGTAGAACACAAAGCCATATTTCTTCCTTGCTCCCTTGTCTTCCCTTTTCTCTAGAATGTGTTTGTCCATATTCTGGACATGTCTGACCCCAAAGGAATCTGGAAATTTGGTGAACAGTTCAAGAATGAACACAGACTAAATGTTTTGGTGAGTTGGAAACGTAAAGTGCCCATCAGCTCGGAGAAGCGGGTGGGCAGTGACAAATTATATGTTTTTAATGGTTTTTGTATTGTATTGATTTTATAATGATATTTTAAATGTTTTAATTGAATATTGTGGATTTTTATAGCATTGAATTGCTGCCAATTTGTAAGCCGCCTTGAGTCGCCTTCAGGCTTGAGAAAGGCAGGATAGACATATCATAAATCTGTATAAATAAAAATGTAATGTTCGTTTTTTGGGATTAGCATAACTCAAAAACCACTGGACAAATCGACACCAAATTTGGACACAATGCGAAAGGTCATGAATTTGAAGCCAGCCCAGGTCAGAGTGAGCTTCCGACCAATTTGTGTAGCTTGCTGTCAACCTTTGCAACCCAAAAGACAGTTGCATCTGTCAAGTAGGCCAACGAGTTACTATCTATATAAATAAAAATGTAATGTTCGTTTGTGGGATTAGCATAACTCAAAAACCACTGGATGAATTGACACCAAATTTGGACACAATACACCTATCGGGCCATCGAGTGACTATCTATATAAATAAAAATGTAATGTTCGTTTGTGGGATTAGCATAACTCAAAAACCACTGGATGAATTGACACCAAATTTGGACACAATACACATATCAGGCCAATGAGTGACCATCACTCATAAAAACATTGAAAAGCACAGCAGAAGATACTTAAAAAGTCAAAATAAATAAATAAATTACAATGCATGTTCAAAACCACATATGTATACACGCAAACACACATATACACAAATATATACACAAATATATCCACATACAAAACACATATACACAGACGGGGCCACAGCAACGCGTGGCAGGAGATGGCTAGTCACTCATAAAAACACTGAAAAACACAGCAGAAAAGACTTAAAAAGACAAAAAACAAAAAATACATTACAGCGCATGCGCAAAACCACATATATACACAAACACACATATATACACATATACACAAATATATACACACACAAAACACATACACAGACTGGGCCACAGCAACGCGTGGCAGGGGACGCCTAGTAAATAAATAAATAAATAAATAAATAAATAAATAAATAAATAAATAAATAAATAAATAGCTGTTTGAAGGCAATTGTTCTGTTGAATAGGAAATTATTTGGCAATAATCTATGTAATTGCAACAGTGTTTTCAGGAGTCTAGAGAGTAGCTGTGCAACTGTAGTTAAGAAAGAACTGCCTTGTTGAGATTTAGCACCGATACCAGTGCAATGATGCAAGTTGTATACATTGGAAAACTCTTTCATTGAGCCATACTCTTGATCTATCAAGTTTAACATTGTTTACATGGATTACCAGCAGCTCTCCCAAGTTTTCAGGCACGAGTCTTTCCTAGCCCTAAATGTAGATATTAGGGATTGAACCTGAAAACCATCTGCTCTCACTGTAGTATAATCACGCCTTTTTACTGACACTTTTTCTTCATAGATCAACAATGCAGGCTGCATGGTAAACACAAGAGAACTAACAGCAAATGGTCTTGAAAAGAATTTTGCTACAAACACTTTGGGTAAGTTGCGTCATTTCCTCAGGGAGATGACACCGATTGTCATAAACCTCTTAAGTTCTGCTAATGCTCAAGTAATCCTGCTTGTATTTCGCCAGTTTTTTTTAAAAAAAACATGCTATTTCCAAATTGCTTCCATAGTCTCAGGTTGAAAGAGAGGGACCAAATCTCTTCACCATCCCATGACTGCCTTTAGACTCCAGGAAAGCAGCCTTGGGTTGGACCTTGATCAAAGTAGTTCAGTTTTACTTGATAAAAGTGGTTGTTTCCTGGTGAAGACGGTTGTGGAATATGTCCTTGGGAATGTCAATAACTAGTTAAAGGCGTGTAGTGGAGATGTTGCTTTAGATAAAGTATCCTGTCAAAGGATAACTTGAACAACTATTGTCCTCTAATAGTTTTTTTTTACCTCATGAATCCAAATTGCAAGAAGGGATCAAGGAGAGATGGTGGTGAGAATGGTTTTCAACTCAATATACATGTAACTTTGGTTTCACTTCCATTCGTAATCCCAAATGATATTTTCCTAATTTTTATTAGGACTCTGTTGTGTTTTTGTAGAAGGGTTCTTTTTTTTTAAGATAATTGTATTGAAAATTATTTATTTGTTTATTTATTTACTTACAATATTTATATTCTGCCTTTCTCGCCCCGCAGGGGACTCAGGGCAGATTACAATGCATATATACATGGCAGACATTCAGTGCCATAGACATACAACATATATAGACAGACACAGAGGCAATTTAACATTCCAGCTTTCCGGCTTCATGAGAGTATGCTTGATTCCGGCCACTTCACCGTCCACTTGTGACACTGAGTCCTTGATGCAGTACTTCCTCATTCTTACACACATTGCTGGAAGGTTTTATGGTGTTGTAAATTAGATAAATTAGTCTCCCCGCATAAAGCGGTACCTAAATTTCCTACTTGACAGATGTAACTGTCTTTTGGGCTGCATAGGTCAACAGCAAGCTAGACTATTAATGGTCAGGAGCTCACTCCAACCCGGGCTGGCTTCGAACTCATGACCTCTCGGTCAGTAGTGATTTAACGCAGCTGGCTACTAACTAGCTGTGTCACAGCCTGGTCCTTCTGTCATAAGAGTAGGATAAAACAAAAACCCAGCACATTGCTTTAATTTTTATATTAAAAAACTGCATAAGAGTCAATACTGTAGTGAGTAGACAATCCAGATGAAGGTTTACAGAATGGTAATGTTAAAATAAAATAAAAAATCAAACAACTGAGTTTATTATTGAAGGAACTGCCTGTTAAACATTCTAACTTTCTCTTTTAGGCCCATATATTTTAACCACAGTTCTTCTACCTCTCTTGGAAAAAGAAGATGACCCTAGAGTTGTAAGTGTGCATGCCTTAATTTGAAGGACAGTGTTAGTACTCACTAATACCTTTCCTTGTTCATTTTCCTGATACAAATGGAATAGTGACGGTGGCAGCTTGGGAGGACTGGTCCCACATAGAAGAGAGGTAGAGTCTCAGATTTGGGGAATAGAAGCGTTTTATACATCCTGAGACACAGCCTCTTGTGTCAGGTTTACTGAATTTTTCCGGTGCTCTTTGCTTACCCCCACTTTTGCTGATGCCAAGAGATATGCTGCATCAGGATTTCATGAAGAAATGAGTTTGAGGAGAAGATTTTCATGTTCTTAAAACAAGAGATCAACATCTTTGTAAGTCTTCTGCTGGTCTTGATTTACATGCCAGGTCTATGGAAACATTTGTGAGGGTGAGGAAAGAAGAAACCTCAGACACTGGAGCAAGCTTACAGTGTTTACTTCATACTCTCTACCACCTAAAGAGCTGCATAATCATTAATAATTTACAATAGGTTTTCCATATATGCAAGTTGGCTAAGGCACATTTGATTATTTGAGGATTTGATTAAAAAATATTCTGGAAGAAGTTTCCTATAGAGTCATTCTGGAGGATTGACACCTCCGGCCCATCCTCTGTTTGGATATCAGCCAGCCAGCCAACGCCTTAAATCAAGAAATAGCTTCCTAAGATCTACAGAGATACTCACAGGAACACCTCAGCAAACAAGAGACCAAAAGTGGCAAGTTAAAACCCGGAACCTCAATCAGTAGCTGATACTGGATGAGAAACTCCCCCCTGGGCACACAGAAGACTGGGTGACTTGGAAGGTGCTGAACAGACTGCACGCTGATACCACGAGATGCAGAGCTAACTTTAAGAAATGGGGCCCACAACATGCGAGTGTGTAGAAGGGCAAACTATAGACCACTTACTACAATGCAGTCTGAGTCCTGCCACATGCATAATGGAGGACCTTCTTACAGCCACACCAGAGGCGCTTCAAGTGGCCAGCTTCTGGTCAAAGGACATTTAGTATAATGCCAAGTTTTTAACTTTCTTTGTGGTTCTTCTATACATTATAAGAGTATTCTCAATTTACTTCTTATACGATAAATAAATAAAATGCTGGAGAATCTAGAGCAGGCATGGGTAACTTTCTAACTTTTCCGCATGCTAGCACTTACAATACAATAGCCCAATTGTACACAGAAAGAAAAATAAATCAGTTCAGCCAATAATGTGACTGGCCGCGTACTAGCACTCCCTGCTATGAGGACTAGCCACTCGGTGATGGAAGGATGGAAGAAGAAAGAGGGAGGTAGGGAGGTAAGGAGAAAGGAAAGAGAGATGGAAGGAAAGACAAAAAAGAGGGAAGGAAGTAAGGACAAAAGGAAGGAAGAAAAGGAAGGGATGGAGGAAGTGAAGGATGGAAGGAAGGAAGGGAAGGAGGAAGAAAAGGGAAGGAAGGACAAAAGGGTGGAAGGGAATGGAGGGAGGAACAGGGAAGGGAGCAAGGAAAGAGAGTGGGAAGGAAAGACAGAAGGGAAGGAGGGAGAAAGAGAAGGATGGAAGGAAGGAAAGGAGTGAAGGACGAAAGGGTGGAAGGGAATGGAGGGAGCGAGGAAGAAGAAAGGGAGCGAGGAAAGAGTAGGAAGGAAAGACAAAAGGGAAGGGAGGAAAGAGAAAGGGAGAGAAGGAGGGAGGGAGGAAAAAAGGACTAAACAGTGGAACGGAGGGAGGGAGAAAGAGGGAAGGGAAGGAGGAAGGAAAGAAAGAGAAGGAAGGGTAGGATGGTGAGAGAGAGGAGGGCCTAAGAAAAGACCCCAAGGGGCTGCATCTGGCCCCCCAGCCTGGGTTTGCCCATGCTTGATCTAGAGATGTCTCAAAAGTGTTCTCTATAAAAGTAGTGGTTTCTTATTGGTGGTTTTTCCACTTTCATTGGGGTCCTACAGTCCTAATCCTAGCAAATGTAGAGAGCAACTATATTTCAAAGGCTCAGTGTATAGCTGATTTCCTGAGCCACAAACAGACCTATTAATCTGTACCAGGTCCATGTCAGAAACCAAGGCATTCAATGTTTTGAGAGTACAGTGTTACTGCTTAGTTCATATTTTATTGCGATACTGTTATTTGGGCAGAACACCCTGGCTGTTCTTAGTAAAGTGCTTTCATCACCAACTTTTAGATGAGTTTCTTCTCCCACTCCCACCCACTCCCTGGAGAAGTAAAAAGGAAATACTCTTCTGTGTTTCTGGAAGCCAGTGGGTGTTTAAAAGAGCGCTCATTCCAATTTGGCACAGCTGAACCACTTTCAACAACAGCTTTTTGTGTCTAATATTGTGTGTATTTATGCATGTATTTGTAAGCTTCATTTATATCTTTCAAGGAGATAGAAAAAGCCCAGGCTCTTTGCTTGACGTACTGGCCTTTTATGTGAAACTTCAGAAGTTTTTAGTTTGAATAATTCATAAAGTATCTTTGCATTGTGACTTTTAAAGAACCAGAGTAGTATAGCTCTCTTAGGAGATTTTTTTTATGTCAGGAGCAACTTGAGAAACTGCAAATTGCTTCTGGTGTGAGAGAATTGGATGTCTGCATGGACATTGTCCAGGGGATGCCCAGATGTTTTACCATCTTATGGAAGGCTTCCCTCATGTCCCCACACGAGAAGCTGGAGCTGACAGATGGGAGCTCACCCTGCTCCCTGGATTTGAACCGCCAACCTTTCGGACAGCAATCCTGCTTGAACAAAGGTTTAACCCATTGTGCCACCGGAGTCTCCTTAGGAGATGGCCAACATGATATAAGACTTTGGATTTCAGAGCCTTTTAAAGGAATTGCTCAACGCAGTTGCTTTTTGTCTTTTTGGTAGTATTGCAAAGGAAACTTGGTACATTTTCAATTACAAATCAGGCTGGTTATGTAGTTCTTGCTAGTGGTTTTGTTTTCCTAGATTTCCAACATCAGTGCTTTTTCTTTCTTTTCAGATCACTGTCTCGTCAGGAGGGATGTTAGTTCAGAAACTGAATGTTTCAGATTTGCAGACAGAAAATGCCACCTTTGATGGAACAATGGTCTATGCACAGAATAAGGTAGGATTCACAGGAGATAATAAAGTCCCTTTATGTTCACAGGTGGCAGTTTTAAGTAGATTCCATTTGGATGCAAAAGAAGAAGGACTCTAGTAAGTTGCAAGTACTTGTGTTTCAGAAGGGTTTTGAAATAGAAGTTGTCCATGATTAGAATCGATTTGCCAATATCTGATAGCATAAGCCCTATTATGCTAGCACATGTGCTTTTTGGGACATTGCAAAAGGAGGTACCCTGTGATGGCATAAAATATGAATTATAGATTCAGCTGATCTGCTGTCATTGGCTGAACTCCAGCCAAGCTAAGTAAGAGTTCAGCCATTAACTCCATTTCCCTGATGTCTCATCATGGCCTGTGCTGTTTTGCTGAGCTCTAACTTGAAATGCTGTGACTGCAATTTTTTGTGCCCGGGGTTATTCGATTTGATGTTATGGCTACAGTGCTGGACCTGAAAACACCCTCATAAACAACAAGCAATCTCAGCTACATTCTGTGTTGGTTACATAGACCTTAGCTAAGAATTACTGCGTATTCATTAGATTTGGATTATGCACGCTTTATCTTTGTAGGTATAATTCCGAAATGCTATAAAACACTGGCTTTTGGAATAAACTTCAGCCTGCTCACAGCACTGGTTAAAATAGTTAGACTAAAATACCGTATATTTGAGGATAAGCCCACCCGAATATAAGCTGAGGCACCTAATTTTACCACAAAAAACTGGGAAAACGCATTGACTCAAGTATAGACCGAGGGTGGAAAATGCAGCCGCTACTGGTAAATTTCAAAATAAAAACAGATACCAATAAAATTACATTAATTGAGGCCTCAGTAGGTTAAATGTTTTTGAATATTTGCATAAAACTGTAATTTAAGATAAGACTGCCCAGCTCTGATTAAACCATTATTCTAATCTTTAATGTAAATGTGCTTATGCATCCTTCCAATAATCATAGAGAGTAAAGTAATAAATGTAATAACTAATAAAGTAAAATAATACATATAATAATAGAGTAAAATAATACATGTAATAATAATAATAATAATAATAATAATAATAATAATAATAATAACTGTAAAATAATAAATAACTTTGACTCAAGTATAAGCTGAGGGGGACTTTTTTAGCCTAAAAAAAGGGCTGAAAAACTAGGTTTATACTTGAGTATATACAGTAAGTGCCGTTCTTGGTAGATCCTTTGACCAATGTTATTGTTTGATGTCTGTTTGCCTTCCTGCTCAGTTTCAGGGCCTATCACAACTTCATGTCCCATCTGGGAGGTTGTGGGTGAGATTTTTGGGTGGATTCAGTATTTTAAAATGCATTTGTAACTGGATTTATTGTATTTTAACTGTATTCTAAGTTAACACACACAGTATTACTTGTTTTTATTTTTTTATATTCACTAAGCAAAGTGAATCTACCAAAACCAGCACTTATTTTAGTCTAAACTGATCAAAATGTGTGATTGTCAGCCACCCAGAGGCCCATCAGGGAGAAAGGTGGGGTATAAATAAAGTAGTAGTAGTAGTATTTCAATTATACCCTACACCTGCACCTCTTTTTCCAACCCCATCACTCTGAGTTTGCATTAACAATTGAGGGGACTCTTTGGTGCACTTTGGTCTCGTACATCTCTGTCCCACTCCCAACTAAACTGTCACCAGTGGGATGGAGCTGCACTAAGTACCCCCTTGGCAGTTGTTACATACCTAAGTAGGTGTAGGGCCAAAGGAGCAGCCTCTACTCTTGGATAATGTTTCAAAGATACATGTTCATGTGCCCTGCAAATTGGGTTTCAATCTGTAAGATTAGACTGGAGATGCAGAGCTCAATGAGCAATGCTTTGCACTTGCTTTTAAGACATGTAGTTAGGATTGGGCTCATTTTCTTTTAAAACGAGCAGAGACTAATGCCTGCAATATATGTACACACAATGGAGACAGTGTTCTGCAGAGGAGGGAGAAAAGTGGTGCCTATGCTGATCAAATAATTACTGCATTCTTAGAATCATAGTTGGAAGAGACCTCATGGGCCATCCAGTCCAACCCCCTGGAAAGAAGCAAAAAAATCGCATTCAAAGCACTCTTGACAGATGGCCATCCAGCCTCTGTTTAAAAGCCTCCAAAGAAGGGGCCTCCACCACACTCTGGGGCAGAGAGTTCCACTGCTGAACAGTTCTCATAGTTAGGAAGTTCTTCCTAATGTTCAGGTGGAATCTCCTTTCCTGTAGTTTGAAGCCATTGTTCTGCATCTTAGTCTCCAAGGCAGCAGAAAACAAGCTTGCTCCTTCCTCCCTATGACTTCCCCTCACATATTTCTATCATGGCTTCTCTCAGCCTTCTCTTCTGCAGGCTAAACATGCCCAGCTCTTTAAGCCGCTCCTCATGGGGCTTGTTCTCCAGACCCTTGATCATTTTAGTTGCCCTCCTCTGGACGCATTCCAGGTTGTCAACATCTCCTTTAAATTGCGATGCCCAGAATTGGACACAGTATGCCAGATGTGGTATGACCAAGGAAGAACAGAGGGTAGCATGACTTCCCTGGATTTCAACACTAGACCCCGATTGATGCAGGCCAAAATCCTATTGGCTTTTTTGCTGCCGCATGACATTGTTGGTTTATGTTTAGCCACACGGACTCCAAGATCTTTTTCTTTGCCTAGTACAGCTTGAGGTCCCCTTACTTGGAATTCGGAAATACTCCAAAATTTTCTATATCGGTGACTCGGATAGTGACCCTCTCCTTTCTGCTGGTGCAGTGTACACAACCTTGTTTCATGCACAATACTAAAAATATTGTATTAATTTATCTTCAGGCTATGAAACATACATCTATTTCGTGTTTAGGCATGAGTCCCATCTCCAGTATGTCCCCTTATGTGCAAATATAGCTATTCCAAAATCTGAAAAGAATAAAAACAAATCGTGAGACCCAGAACACTTCTGGCCCCAAGCATTTGTTATAAGGGATACTCAATACCTCTGTAATAGGTGTTAAGTATGTGAAGATACTGAAGTAAATAGCCTTCCAGCCTGATGCTTTTTTGTTGTATCATAGAGACAGCAAGTGGTTATGACTGAACAGTGGGCTAAAGCACATCCCAGCATCCATTTCTCTTCTATGCATCCTGGCTGGGCCGATACTCCAGGTATTTGTTGCGGAGTAGCAATACTAATCTCCTTGCCTAAATATAAAGTGGTGTTGTATGAGCAAAATGCCCTATGGCACTTTATTTGGTGTGCTTCCCTTTGTAACCTGACTTTGAACTTTGTACATAATTCCCTTTGCTCAGATAAACATGTGAAAAGGTTGTACTCTGAACTAGGCTAAGTGATCAGGAAATACAGACTAACTGTCCTTTGTACTTATTTGACTTCAGTTTGACAACAAACAGAGATGGTTACCTGTAAATCTCTAGCTATGATGAAAATTCTCTCTTACAAAACAGTCTATGCCAGTGTTCTTTATATGATCCACTGATTCAAAAAAGGGACTTTGCAAAACTGGAAGGAGTAGCATATTGTAAACCTGGGGTCGTTACAATGGTCAACACACATTTTGGTACCTCACATGTTAGCCCTGTTTCTGGGCATATTTGACCTGCTATTACCAAAATGGCATTAGTTTCCCCTATCAGCTTTAGTTTTTGAGATATAGAACATACCCTATATACCAGTCTTCGTCTGCCTGCCCACAGAAAACCATGATAACCATATTTGAAGAAATTAGAGCTGATATGGTCTATCCAATGGAATTTTCTGAGTCACTGCCACCCAAGGAACGGTTTAATAAACTTTTCCCATGTTTTTATGAGTGCACCAATTAGGAAATGACAGGTATAACTCAGGAACAAAAATCGTGTTACATAGTGTTATCACTCGACAGTGTCCAAAGAAGTGGGTTTATGTTCACAAAAGCACATGTCAAAATAAATACCAGTTTATATTAAAAGTACTGCCACATTTTTCTCCTTCCCTTTATTATTATTATTATTAATAATAATTACTGTTTATTTCATTATTATTATTATTATTATTATTATTATTATTATTATTATTATTTCAAAGGCTGGATGGGCCTTTATTGGGGGTGCTTGGACTGTGCTTTTCATGCCTGGCAGAAGGGTGTTGGACCGCATGGCCCCTGGGGTCTTCCAGTGAAATAGTAGTTAAGTTTATGTTGGTTAAAATTTTCTAAAGATCAGTGGATGTGCAAATCAGATGCTGAACTTGCTGACCGGAAGGTTGGTGCTTCGAATTCACAGCTCCCGCTGTTAGCCCTAGCTCCTGCCAACCTATCAGTTCAAAAACATGCAAATGTGAGAAGATCAATAGATACCACCTCAGTGGGAAGGTAATGGTGCGCCATACAGTCATGCTGACCACATGACCTAGGAGGCGTCTATGGACAGCACAGGCTCTTTGGCTTAGAAATGGAGATGAGCACCACCCCCTAGAGCTCAAAAGGGAAGCCTTTACCTTTATCTGTTTTTATCTGTGTTTGGTTGTTTCTAGGCATTGAATGTTTGCCTTTGTGTTTGTGTATGCTGGAATCCGCCCCAAATCCCCTCAGGGAGATAGGGCAGAAGACAAATAAATTATTATTATTATTATTATTATTGTGAGATAGGACTTTTCTTACACACACTTATCAGAGCTGTTACCTTGTAGCGGTGCAGTCATCTATGCCAGATTTCTATGAGAAGATGAAGAACAAATTACGGACCGAGGCCCAGGGAGCAGACACGGTGGTATGGCTGGCAGTCTCCTCTGCAGCGAGGAAGCAACCAAGTGGACTGTTCTTCCAAGGTAAAAATGTTTCCAGTAGGGTATCCTCGAAATGAACAAAATGGGGGAAACCTGTCTTCTAGCAATACATTCAAAATTATGGAAAAACTCAATAACAAGTGAGAAAGCAACAATTATTAAGAATGTGTGCATTCACCTCTTATCATAGTCAGAACTGGGACTGGCTGTAGCTCTCTGTGTAAAGTGCCTTTGGTGACAACAACAACTGTTGTATCCCACAGTAAAACAGCCTTAGCGCTTCATTTCAGGGCAAGGAATATGGTGGTCTAGGCTTGATTGCAATTCCCATCCTCCCTAACAAGCATAGCTAATTTTAAGGAGTTATGGGAATTGTGGTCCAAGATCTTCAAGGTTATGCATTCCCAAGTTCTATTTTATTTTGTGAACAATTAAATTATTTCATTCCTGTATTGTAGACCCCTCAACTAGTGCTGCACATTTGTGAACCAATACAGTAATTCCTTCACATTTGTGGGTTTGACTTTTGCAGATTTGATTATTCTTGGGTTTGATCAAAATGTTATCTCTGGGAATCTCTAGAGGCTATATCCCAGGATCTAATTCCAAGTTTTCTGTTTATCCCAGATTATCTGGCAGTGTGGACTCATACAGTCCAGTTTAAAGCAGAAAACCTGGGATCAAATACTGGGAAATAGGGCCTGCCTGGAATGGCCCTTGGTCTTCCAGTGCAACTCTGTGGTCAACATCTGCCAGAAGTAGGCCTATTTCTGGCAGATGTTGACCACAGAGTTGCACTGGAAGACCAAGGGCTGTTCCAGACAGGCCCATAGGGTTATACTGGAGAACCCTAAGAGAAGTATTCTGAGTATTTAAAAAGGCCAGCAATTTTTATTTGCATTTTATTCAAATACTCCACGTGAATGTGGTGAGCTGCCTGCACTAAAAAAATCCACAAAAAGCTCCAATTTATTAAATTTCATTGTGCATTTTTACTTCCAGACCGAGAGCCTGTTGCAACCCACTTGCCCCTGGCATGGACAAAATCGTCACCTGGTGATGAAGAAAAACTGATGCAGGTGCTTGAAGAACTATCGCAGAAGTTTAAACCCCAATAACCACTCCTTTCCACGTTCTGTTTAACAAGAGTTCCAGGAGAACAGCAGTGCGTTACAGCAGCATTTCCCCAAACTGCAACGAAGGGTCAACTAAGCAAATCAACACTACAATTTAAAATTGGAAACAAATGTAAATTAATAGACTCACAAACTTTGTTTTGCGGCAAAAAAAAATCTGAAGTAGAACAGTGTAGAGTTTCTCAGTGTTCTGGAAAAAGCTGAAAGCATGTAGACATTGTGCCGATTCCTGGAAAAGTTAGCTTAGGGCCCTTCCAGACAGGCCGTATTTCCCAGGATCTGATCCCAGGTTTTCTGCTTTAACCTGGATTATATGAGTCTGCACTGCTAGATAGTCTGGGATAAACAGAAAACCGGGGATATAGGACCTGTCTCAAAGGGCCCTTAGCTTGTTTCAGTTGAACAAATTAGTTGAAACTAATTCCAGTCTCAGTAGTGTTTGCAAGGCAACCAAGAAAAAAATAGATGTGTTTATTAGTCTTGGGTCTGGTTACCGTTTAATTGTTTTGTTCAGATGGCACGAAACAGTACACTCCCCTCTGGGACAGAAATATCAATGAAACGAAAGGAATATGGGAATGGTAACCAGATTTTTGGTGCTACACTGCAGGCCCTGGCAGACATTGGTGCTTTGGGCCTGCAGGCCACACACACACTCTCCTTGTAAAGAGGGTATGTGTGTAGCGTGCAGGTCCAAAGCATCAGTGCCTGCCAGGACCTGTGCCCTGCAGCCAAGTGCCTTTGGGCCTCGACAAGCAGGTGCTTTGGGCCCCAGCAAGCCGCCAGCGAACATGGCGTGTTCCAGCCCTGTGCCAAGGATCCCACCATGGGTCTGCCCCTAACTCTGATGAAGAGACCTCAGCAGTTGCGCAAAGTAGGTTTCCCAATTGGAAGGGAAAGCGGCAAGGAGAAATGGTGGCAGAGCTGGCCAGTTTCACCCCTCTAGCCCTAAAACTGAGGGGAAGGGGAGCATGGGAAGCCTGCCCATTTCCACTAATGGGACAGAAATATTCAGGGGTTTTTGTCTTGGAACAAAAAAGCTCATTTGGAAAGGCACCCGTTTTCAGGAGAAGTGCTCAAAAACAAAAACGGGGCATTACAAATGAAACAAACTGATAGTGGTTCTATACAAATGCACAAAACTAGTGTTTATGTCTTCAAATTACACCATGGCTTGTGAGGGGAGTGGAGGAAAAAGTTTTTTTGTATTTCTCCATAATTTCCGACCTTCAGTTACCAATTTTGCACTTGTTCTTTTTAAAGCCAAAGAGTTTTCTGCTTCTAACAAGCAGGGCATATTGCGAATACAGTTGGCTCTGTTCCACTGATGTGATAGAAAGTTTCTTGCCATGCCTGCTTCCAACAAATCTGTGACTATGGATCAGTTCCTTAAAATTAGAGCTGGAAGTTGCTTTGTTATAAATTAATAGTGTAAACATGTAATAGATTTAATATATTTTGTAACCACTGACAATTAAATTTTAAGGATAAATAATATGCACTCAAGAGACAAAGAGTTGGTGTCGTTGCCAATTTCCACAGCAAATGAGATGCAAACATTTACACAGAGACTTAAAAACCTTTGAAAGAGGCTATTTTAATTTATATTTTTTATTTTCTAAAAAAAGACATGCCTAATAAGGCAGCAAAAAACCCACCTTGAAATTTAACATTAATTTGAGGGCCCTCTTGAGAATTTAAAGCAATTACAGTGATCCGCAAATTCTTCAAATGCGCATTCTGCCAGAGAGGCAACCAATGTACGGTAGTTCAAACCATGCCCCATAAAGTCAATCAAAATGAAGTTCTTGCAGGCTTGGTCCAGCTAAAGCGACTGACGTTCTCCGCAATGACTATTCAGTTCAATGGACACTAGGTTGCAGCCAACTGATTGCAGTCTCAGTTTGACTACTTTCAACACTCATTGGTTATGCTTGGGGGTAGAAGGCTAGTTAATTCCATTTGAAGTTTGCAACCAAATAATGCATTCATACGCGCCTTGCAATGAAAAAGACTGGGCTTTCCCTACACTTTCCTTTGGACTGACTGCTAGAATGTAAGAGGAAAGTCAGTGACCTTTGGTTTGCCCAGAACTTAGAAGATAATTTTGCAATCCCAAGTTCCTGTTCAATGATGCCACTGGACAATACAGAAAGAGGAATCGTTTGCTTTCTGTTTTGTCTCCTAAGACACAGCCAGCACCAATGTCGCACAGTAGAGGGGCCACTCACAGCCACCAAGAATCCCCCACATAAAACACCACACGTCAACATGGAACATGAAACAAACTGCACTGCACACCGATTTCCCAGACTGAGTCCCAAACGGCTGAGCGGAACCGGATTGTATTATCGTTGGCTTAAAAAAATATCTTTTGCATTTGAAAATGAAGAGAAGTAGAGCATTTGGTGTAAGTGTTCATGCTGGATTTGCTAGGCGGGCTTGGGAAACCAGCCAGAAGCATCAGTCTTGCCCTTCTCCATCTCTACACAGCTTGATCCATCTGCTTCCACAGGACTAGGAATCCCCTCTTCAGTAACACAGAATTTCTTTAGGCTTCAGGGATGCATCAGGATACTACAGGTGTCATATCCCACAACTATTAAGAAGAGACACATGCAGACAATGTGAAGAGACTATTGGAATAATTTACTCAAACCTTGCAGAACGATCCTGCCCTATCTACATACGCAAGGGAAATAAGTGGAGACCATCCATAGAGTATGTAATAATAATAATAATAATAATAATAATAATATAAGACACAAAAGCACAGTATGTGACAGCAAACGAGATGTCTATGCTGGATTTCGTATGACAGAGTCGAACACTTCCCAAGCGTCTAGGACTGTGTGATGTATTATTATTATTTATTGCTAGTATCTAAGGATGGCCTTCACTTAATAATAATAATAATAGTAATAATAATAATAATAATAATAATAATAATAATAATAATAATAATAAAAATACCATCTGCCTGCGACAAAGAAGTGTTGGGATCACAAGCCGGAAAAGGTTACAGAAAATGAACATGTCAAGCTACTCTGGGACTTCCGAATTCAGACAGACAGAGTTTTGGAGCACAACACTCCTGACCTCATGATCATGTTAAAAAACCAAGTATGGATTGTCGATGTTGCAATCCCAGGTGACTGCAGGATTGAAGAGAAACAACTGGAAAAGCTGACACAATATGAAGCTTTAAATATCGAACTGCAAAGACTCTGGCACAAGCCAGTCAAGCTGGTGCCAGTGGTGATTGGCACACTGGGTGCAGTGCCTAAAGAAACTGGCCTGCACTTAAACACAATCTGCACTGACAAAATTACCATCTGCCAGCTGCAAAAGGCTGCCTTACTGGAATCTGCACGTATTATTTGCCGATACATCACACAGTCCTAGACACTTGGGAAGTGTCCAACGTGTGATCCAATACAACAGCCAGCAGAGTGGACGACTCATCTTGTTGTGTTTCTAATAATAATAATAATAATAATAATAATAATAATAATAATAATAATAATAATCCTTTATTTATAGCCCGCCCTATCTTTTCAGAGGGCCTCAGGGCGGATTGCAACAAAATAAAACACAGTGGCAAACATTCAGTGCCGAAGATAACATATAAAAAATCATAAACAAGCTCTAAAAATTATAAATTATAATTTAAAATTATATCAAAGTCTTGTGGTTTGAACATTGGTTTACAGCACTGGTGACTAGCATTGAAATCCCTGCTTTGTCATGGAAACCCACTGGGTGACATTATTAATTAACTTTGTTTCTCTGCCACCTTTCTCTTTTGATCAAGTCATGCTCTCAGCCTCAGGAGGGAACTGGCAAACCCTCTCTGAACAAATATTGCCAAGAAAACCCTGTGAAAAGTTCAGCATAAAGTTGCCATATGTCAGAAATTACACGAAGCATAACAACCACAACAATGCATGAATAAGACGTTATGTTAGCAGGAGCAGTCTTTGAAGGGTGTAAATTCCCATACTTACCTTAATAAGTTTGTCTGTCCCGGACGTTAGCAACCACCCCCTGGTTGGATCGAAGTGTACATGGGTAACATTGTGTTTGCTGTTGTGGAAAGTGGCCGTGGGTGCACGCCTGGGGGAAGAACCAGAACAAGGAAAGTGAACTGAGAGCTGGTTGAGAGGACAATTGACCAGCCTCTGTTGGGAAGTCTCTGTGGCAGAATGAGAATTTCCTATTCTTAATTGTTTCAAGCATAGCAGCAGAGAAATGGCTTCCACCTCAACATAGCCAGAGAAGGAACCTGGTTGCAAATCTCTAGTTTAGAGCAAGCAACTTAAGCCCAGGCTTAGGGTTAAATACTTTTTAAAAGCAACGACTAGGAAAGAATTCTGCCTACACAGAAAAGAATTCATTATGTCATGCTGCAATAATTTATCTTCCCTCGGATGTCCAAAGATCAGGCAAGTAACAAGGATGGCGAGCATGAGAGGGGACAAGACCGGGGCAAACTACTTACTCCTCATCTGTTATTGATTCATAACAACTGTCGCAGACTCTCACTTCAAATTCAAAGCCCATCAGAGGGATGCACGACCGCTTGGAACTGCACTTGCCACACACAGCTTTCCCACATTTCCGGCAATGGTGCTGAAATGGAAAAAAAAAAACCAGGTAGGATTCAGACAGGTGAGGTGAAAGGACTTACTCTGAATAGCAGGTATGAGTAAACTTTGGCCCTCCAGGTGCTTTGTACTTCAACTCCCACAGTTTCTAACAGCTGGTAAGCTGGCTGGGATTTCTGGGAGTTGAAGTTCAAAATACCTGGAGGACCAAAGTTTGCCCATGCCTGCTATATAGCCTATCTGACATAAGGAGAGAAGTGTGCATCCTGGACTTTTCTGTAACAGTTTCCCCTTTCCCTCATGGAGCCCTGGTAATGTAGATAAAGAATTACATATCCATGCAAATAAGAAACTGGCAAAATGTTACGTAACTCACCTCAGACAAATTAATTCCCATGCAGCCTTTATGCACTGAGGATGAGACTACTAAGACTGAATGATTCCCCTGCCTTTTTTTAAAAAAAATGAGCAGAGGAATCCTTATAACTAACACTAGGCTTTATTTTCATAGCAATGTCATCACTTATCTGTCAGAACCCCCGGTGGCAGAATGGGTTGTGCTGGCAGGGCTGCTGACCAAAAGGTTGGCAGTTCAAATCTGGGGAATGGAGTGAGCTCCCATATGTCAGCTCCAGCTTCCCATGCGGGGAACATGAGAGAAGCCTCCCACAGGATGATAAAACATCCAGGCATCCCCATGGCAACGTTCTTGCAGACGGCCAATTGTCTCACACCAGAAGCGACTTGCAGTTTCTCAAGTCGCTTCTGATACGGAAACAAAACTTATCTGTCCACCCACTCTTTTACTATTTCATTCAGGTTACATTTCTATACATTTAACAACTCTTGATGTCAGCTTCTGCTAGTTTGGCAGAAGCTGGGGCTAACAGCAAGAGGTCACCCTCTTCCTGGATTTGAACCACCAACCTTTTGTTAAGCAAGTTCAGAATCTCAACGGTTTAACCCGCTAAGTCACCCACCTTATCCTTAAATTACTGAAAATGCCTAAAGTAAAGTTACAGCTTGGATCATTTCTGATTAGGGTTCTGATCAATTGGGCCATGCCCATTCACAAGCTGCTTTGCTCCATCATTCTCCCATCAAGTGGTGTACCCCCCCCCCCTCCGTCATCGATGCTCAGTCTTCTCTGGCCACTGAGTGTTCAATTCACTTAGGTGTTTTCTAAAAGATCCCTCTCCCTCTTTTGGAGTTATGTAAATTTTGGACTCCGAACCCCACCCTCTCCAGCTTGTAGGTGCCTTCCTTTTAGGTGTAGATATTGCAGTTTTGATAGCATGTGGTGTATCCTCAGAGAGGGATTTACTCTTAGCACACAGGCTGTTGCCTTGAGTAAAAGAGAAAGGTAGGCATCATTTTTAAATGAAGTACATGCTACATACCTGTCTAAGACCTATTTTCTTGCTATCCCACATTTGTTTGAAGTTCCAGAAGAAGGGCTGGTCACATTTTTGACACGAGTCGCTGTCCAACCATTCTGGTGTCTAATGGAAGAATGGGGAGAGAAGAAATCAGTGCAGCTACAAGACCTCACTGTGTACAGAATCAAAATAGCAAGCACGATTTACTCATTTTCACTGTAGATGTGCCAGTGCTTTGCTCCAACCTGGGCCCATTCACACTGTATGTCAAACACATTCAAAATTATCTATTATGATAAGCTATGCTCATTAGGAAATTGCATTGTTATGGTGCACACAGCCCCGAGCAAACTTAATCATTCAGGTACCCTCCAGATGGATGGGACTGCAACTTATGTCAGCTGTAGCCAGCATAACACAGGTTAAACCCCTGTACCGGCAGGACTGAAGACTGACAGGTCACAGGTTTGAATCCGGGGAGAGCGTGGATGAGCTCCCTCTATCAGCTCCAGCTCCTCATGCGGGGACATGAGAGAAGCCTCTCACAAGGATGATAAAAACATCAAAACATCCAGGAAAAGTAGCCAAGCATTTTCAAATAGGCATGGGCAAACCGGCCGTCCAGGAATTTTGGACTTCAACTCCCACAATTCCTAACAGCCGGTTGGAAAGGATATTAAAGTTTTATTTTCCTGTCAAAAAGGACAGAACTATCAATCACTTAGCAATTACTTTTCAGCTGATGGTTAAGATGTTTTACTTTCATTTGTCGAGCAAAAAGCTGGGTCTGTAGTCATATGCAAGTCGACATCACAGCCATTTTCTAGAGACAAGTCTGAGTTGAGTAATTTCTCAATTGACAGATAATTGGTTCTATTGTTTGCCGAAGGAATTTTTTAAAACTTAATTTTTAAACCAATGCCACTCAACATCTCCCCTGCCTCAGTTTCAAACAATGTTGCATTCAGAGTAAATTGAGCCAAAGTTCTGCTAACAAGTCTATGTTGAGTAACACAGGGATAAACGAGCAATAAATACCAAAGATTTGCTAGGCATGTGTTGATTGGTAGGAAACTATCCCCTCGTTCTAGGCCAAGGGAGCAGGGGAATTTCCTAGTAGGAAAAATACATGCAAACAAGCTCCCTAACATCGTAAAATTCCCTGAACCAAATTCATAGCATGGTATCTGCTCCATAAGCTCCCTTGCTCAAAACCCCTCTGCAAGCAACAATGGAGGTTTACAAAATTCTCCATGATGTTGATAAAGCTGGAGCTTTTTCTTCTTCTTCTACGTTCCATCCTTTGTTTTTGTCCCTAACCTAGTGTATGAAGGTTTTTTCCCTTTTTTCTGAACTAGAATTTAGGAACAGCCATGGTGGGAGATTCAGGAGTGATTAAAGAAGTATATTCAATAAATAATTAACTTGTGGCTGCCACAAAAAGAGCTGTTTATTCAATGTGCTTGTTCTTTTGGGAAGGGACATTAAAACAATGTGTTGTCGAAGGCTTTCATGGCCAGAATCACAGGTGAGTTTTCCGAGCTGTACAGCCATGTTCCAGAAGCACTCTCTCCTGACATTTCATCCACATTTTGGCAGGCATCCTCAGAAGTAGAGGAGTCTATTGGAAACTAGGCAAGTGAGGTTTATATATCTGTGGAATGTCCAGGGTGGGAGAAAGAACCATTGTCTGCTGAAAGCAAGTGTGAATGTTGCAATTGGCAACATTAAAACAAATCTGGAGGAAATAAGAGATTGTATTCTACATCAGTTAAAATATTAGCCAAAGTAAAAACAGCTTTGCTTGAAATTTATTCTCACTGCAAAAAGTGATGGTTCCTTTTTTGGGGATTACAACCAATCACTAAAAACCTTCAAGCAATACTGAAATATTATAGATTTGCATTTAAACAGGCAAGTCCAATAGAATAAAATACCATATGAATCTAATTGTGTGGTCAAATTTAAGACACCCCCTTGCAAAGACTGGCTTTTTACAGGTTATTTAAAATGCTTAGGGGTTTTTTGTATAAAATTTTCAAATTTATTTTATCATAGTTCAATACATTATGGAAATGTAGTGATTTTGATGATGTATGGAGAAAATTTATTGAAAAGGGATTTAAAAAGATGGAAAGTTTCCTCCACAAGAAGAATTGAAATTTTGAACAGATGATATGTAAAAGCCGTGGCCGGGGGGGGGGGGGGGGGGGGGGGGGGGGGCAGGAGGGAACACAGTGGTGAGGGATAGATAATATGTATAAGCAGAAAAATAACAGTAGATGCCCAAAGTTAAAGTATGGTAGGTTGTATTGACTAATATGTATCTGTTGTAAAACAAGCAACGTATAAAATGTTTAGTTTTAACAAGTTGAAAGTTCCCTGACCAGACTAAAGGGGAAGTAGTGAGTACAGACCTCCTGCCTTTCAACATCCATATTCCAGACCACAATTCCACCATCTGCTCCACAGGAGATAAGTTGCCGAGTGTGGTGAGAATAGGAGAGAGCTTGGACTTTATCACTGTGGAAGACACAAATGTAAAACACACCAAGAAAACACTTGTGAGCAGAGTCAGAAATCTGAACATGCCCTCCCTGTTAATCATTCATCTGGAAAGGAGAAGTTTCTAAAAGGGAAGAGTTCACAGACTTTGTCAAACACAGGACAGAATTAAGTTGTTGTCAGAAACTATGGCCATGTTTGGGAAGTGAGCAGGAAAGAGGACCCTCCTCCATAATCGGCTCACTTCTGTACACAGGGACAATCTCTCTGGTGTCTGAAGGCAATGGTTCTCAACATATGAGTCATCAGATACTTTTGGACCAAGGCGATATGGACTACACCAACGTACAGATGAATTCCACCCCCATATATGATGTCAGGTTAGAGTTAACAATTCTGCAGGGCTATGCAATGGTCACCCAGCCATATCATATCATATCATATCCTAGCCATTCCCTGCCACGTGTTGCTGTGGCCCAGTCTGTGTATATGTACTTTGTGTGTGTATAAGTATGTGTATATATTTGTGTATATGTGTATATATGTGTGTTTGCGTATATATGTGGTTTTGCACATGCGTTGTAATGTAATTTTTAATTTTTTTGCTTTTTAAGTCCCTTTTGTTGCATTTTCCAGTGTTTTATGAGTGATGGTCACTCGTTGGCCTGATAGGTGTACTGTGTCCAAATTTGGTGTCAATTTGCCCAGTGGTTTTTGAGTTATGTTAATCCCACAAACGGACATTACATTTTTATTTATATAGATTGATTAAAAACAAACACTCTCAACATTTGGTTCTGTTTTGGATTATATTCTCAGAATCCCTGATCAACACCTGTTGGAGCTTCTTGGAAAAGTTGTTTCAGATCGTCTGGTAGCACCAAAGATGAGAATGCCGCTTTGAGGAGCTAGGAATGTATCCACGCTGCACAACTAAAGCAGTTCAATATCAATTTAATTATTGTGGTTCCATCTTTGAATCCTATACTGAGACAAGGATGTGGGGCAGAAATGTAATCAATCAATTAATTAATCACAAAGAACCTTGGGATTTGTAGTCTGATAGTATACTTCAAATTCTCTAGTGCACCTCTTATGTAAGGAATACGCAGAGGTGGTCTTGCCAGTTTCTTAGTCTGAAGTAGAGGCTACAATACCTAGTTATTTGTGAGTGGTTCCCATTCAAGTACTAACCCTGACCCTGCGTATTCTCTAAGATCACATGGGATCCAGTGCCTTTAAGGCAATGGTTCTCAACCTGGGTTTCCCAGATGTTTTTGGCCTACAACTCTCAGAAATCCCAGCCAGTTTACCAGCTGTTAGGATTTCTGGGAGTTGAAGGCCAAAAACATCTGGGGGCCCCAGGTTGAGAACCACTGCTTTAAGGTTTGATTTGATGCTTCCTCACAAATGAAATACAGAATATTTATTTATTTTGTTGTGGGAATTGTGCTTAAGAAGAGTCATTTTAGAGAAATACCGTACTTATGTCCTTGTAGTTCAATGGCAGTTCCTTTTCTCCCTCCAATGTCCCACATAATAATTGAGTGATCCGAGCTGCCCGAAAATAAGACTCGCTGCACTGGATCCCAGCAGAGGGCACTGATTCCACCTGGGAAACATCAGGACAAGAAAAAAAAAACATGAGAAAGCAGAAGGGGAGGTCATATCACGACACAGAAGCTCACGTAAACTGTAAGAGCATCCCCAAACACTTAGGAGTAGATCTGCCTTTCCTAAAAAATATCAACAGCCTGGCAGTTGGACAAGCAAAATGCATGAAAGATAATGCATAAGATCACATTAATCTGTTGGACGGTGATCACAGAATCGCACTGGAGGGTGAGAGAGGTCTTCTCTTTAATCTTTAAGTCCGCCAACTTGACTCTGTGGCTAACTTTGTCCTTTCTTTGACATAATATTCTCCGGCCAATCTCCACTTTGACTTGACTTGACGCTTTACAACTCTACAATCTGGGTAGAAGTGAGTCAGTGTGGAACATTTCAGGTTAATCTCACAAGTAAAGCCTAACTGAAGACTCGCAATGAAAACGCAAACACAAAAAACTATAAGGTTAAGCCAAACTCTCACCAGTCCCTGGTGACTCAGTCACTGTGAGTTTTGGTTGTTATCATCATCTATTTCCACACCACTTCCCATATCTAATAATATCTAAAAGTAATGCACCACTGCAGGCTAATGAATGGAATGCATGAATCCACAGACTGTCATTTTCTATAGCTAGATTCAGATTCCAAATGCAAAGGAAAATCATCTTCACAGATATTTAAGTGAGGCTTAAATCCCCGCTAAGGTACTTCAAATTCAGCAGATGTCAACACCTAAAGTTCCAACTTCCAAAACCCTTTACCTACCTTTCCCCAATCTGTTTTACTCTGGGTTATTTTATTTTTTTTTACTACATCTCCTGTAACAGAAAATGATATAACGGCTCCACCTCCACTAATACATCTCTCCACTGCCATGCTGACAAAGATTTAACTTGTCTGTTCTCCATTTGACAAATGTGGGTTTGGAGCAAAGTTATGAGTAAAGAGCACTCCAACAGTCAGAAACTGTATTTCTGAAGTACGGCTCAATCTGTGGTCTGCTATGATATTAAAAATATTCTATGCAAGCATAAGGGCAGGGGAAGATCTGAAAATTTTTTCACAATAATTTATTTATTTACAGTATTTATATCCCGCCCTTCTCACTCCGAAGGGGACTCAGGGCGGATCACAAAACATACATACACTATACGGCAAACATTCACTGCTGTTTTATGCACAAATGGACAGGCAATTATACACAGACAAGAGGTATGTATATCGTCTTTCCCCATATTTCGGCATCTTGGAAGGTGTTGTGCTCGATTCTGGCCATGAGGGAGTGGGGGGGGGGGGGGGCGCCGTCACTCCATCTCCCTGCCGAAAAGCCGGCCTTGAACTGGCAGCCTTTTGACTGACAAGACTGACTACAGTCGGTGTTTAACCTGCTGTGCTTAAGCCGGCTCTTGAGCTCCAAGGTGCAACTATTGCATGGCACACAAACCCTGTCATTTTTCCATATATTGTTCTAGATATACTGGTCATGTACAACAACCCTAAATGGCCCATATTTGCTTCAAATCTTACCTGTATGACCTCTAAATGTTGTTATCAGGTTGCAGTTTTCTTGCTCCAGTTTAAGGATGGTCACTTGCCCAGAAAGATCACCAATAAAAACGTGCCGTGTCTCCACATCAAATCTGGCAAGGAAGGGCTTAGGAAATCTTCACAACATTCAAGTATCTTATTCAGATTGTAATATGCTTGGATATAACTCTTTCTGAACATCTTTATGCAGCAAAGATCTGAAAACAAATCACTAATTTCAGGACTGCTGGGAAGAGGTACTTGGATCCCATATTACCCATTTCCCAATAATTCATTATTCTTCACTATTCCTTTCTACCCATATGTCTCTGCATTAAAGAAACACTTTATATAATGAAAAACGGCGGTCTCTCATCTGTGTTTTTTTTTTTAATCTTTATGAACTTTTTTCCAGGCTGGTTAGAAGGCCCGAGGGCCAGATACGGCCCTCCAAGGCCCTCGCTCAGGGTCAACCTAATCATAGAATCATAGAGCTGGAAGAGACCTCATGGGCCATCCAGTCCAACCCCCTGCCAAGAAGCAGGAATATTGCATTCAAAGCACCCCTGACAGATGGCCATCCAGCCTCTGTTTAAAAGCCCCCAAAGAAGGAGCCACCACAACACTCCCGGGCAGAGAGTTCCACTGCTGAACAGCTCTCACAGTCAGAAAGTTCTTCCTAATGTTCAGGTGGAATCTCCAAACCAGATTAGCCCATTGTGCAGTGAGTAGATGGAACAATAATTATGGAAATGATGTATATTCAATAGGTCTACTTCAGTCAACATTTACAACCGAATGTAGCTCTGAACTTTCCCTGCTGCTGCACCTTCAATTTCAATAGTTTCAAGGCCAGTTTGGTGTGAAATTTGCTGGTTTACAGACAAAAGCATAGTTTCTAAATAATATATTGCGCATATGTAAGGGTACAAAGCACAAAAATATCTAGGAGGCTTTCACATTCACCGAAACGGAAGCCAATTTGTGTCACAGTGTGAAATTTCCCATTCCCCAATTATACTCCCTCTATCAGCTCCAGCTCCTCATGCAGGGACATGAGAGAAGCCTCCCGCAAGGATGATAAAACATCAAATCATCCGGGTGTCCCCTGGGCAACGTCCTTGCAGACGGCCAATTCTCTCACACCAGAAGTGACTTGCAGTTTCTCAGGACGCTCCTGACACGACAAAAAAAATACTATGTAACAAAATTTGAAAAATGTTCTGTTCCTGATTTCAAAGTGTTATTTCCTATTTATCTGTGTGGTACTTACTTTAAAAGTAGTTGTTATCATCCAGAAACGTCGTTTTTGTGGCTGGTACAAACTATGTCGAATTGGTTGATACTCGATGAGATCCTAATAATTGAAAAACTATAGCAAAATGTGATGCAGGATGTCCTGCAAATAGAATTTCTCATGTTTTTATAATAGAACCAATTATGAAATGACATTTATAACACAGGAACAATAATTGTGTTACATACTGATAAGCAGGAGCTGTGATTGACAGGGTTGACATGGCTCAGGAAATAGCAGACTGATATTCCCCTCTTGTAGGATCTCAATTTCAAGGATGGATTGCAACAGGAATCCTGTTTCTGTTTGCAATGGAGATCACCCATGCAAAGGGGTAGGAACGTTTACAAGGATCGTGCTCAAATTCACTACATATCTATATAAATACTGTGATCAAATAGCAATATAGGCCATAGAGGATAACGGACATTATCCAGCATTTTACTTGTTCAACCATCATGTTCTGAAACAAACTTTACAACATTCAAGGGAAAAATGGAAAAAAGAAACCAGAACCAGCACTAATGCCATGATTTCTGTAAAGGATACTGTAGTCCACAGGCCCCGGCGTTGATCCTGTAGCTCCCGAGGCGCTGCCCACTCTCTGAGCAATGCCAAGTGAAGTGTTTATCTTGTCCTATGCTTAGGATCCATTCCATTTCCAGGACAAAGAGGACCATCATAACCCTACTTTGGTGAGCTGGAGGGGGAAAGGACATTAAGAAAACATTAGTATTTTACCCAAGGCTTTCTACGTCTTTTTTCTTTACCCCTCTTTCCTCTTGCTATTAAAGGCAATGATACTGCTTGTTATTTTCATGTATGCCTTAAAGATGCCCAAGCGAACTGAGTACAGCCAGCAATGAATTGAGGATCTACAGGATGAGGCCAGGCACATCCATGACCCAAATGACAAGGAAGGGAAATGGATGCAACTCCGAGGCAAAAAGGATCAGCCAAGCAGAAAGCAGGAATTACAATCGTATCACCAGGACAAGATAAAATCTCACAAAATTATGAAGTGCTTAGCACCAGAAAATATGACAGAAAGTAACAAAGATAAATATGGTTTTATATTATATGTTACTGTTTTTAAATACATTTATGGTGTTGCTTGGCATTGAATTGTTACCTCTGTAAACTGCCTTGAGAAGGGCGGTATACAAATACAGTAAATAATAATAATATTTTTAAAAGAAATGAGTCTTGCTTTCTGTCCTCAATGCACTACCCTTAACTCTCTAGTACAGTCTCTTACACTGAGGAGAGAAGATGTAATGTGCCATCCATTCCTACTATTGTGATTTCAGCATTCCCAATCTAAGGTATATTATTCTATTTTCCTTTCCTTTCTTTCTCGTCTCAGAGATTCACAAAGTGGAGCTGGCCTTTCTATCCATATTACATTACAGTATAATACACTGGTAATGTATTATATATATTGTGGTATAATAATATAGTCAGGCCCGTAGCGAGGGGGGGGGGTTAGGGGTTCAAACCCCCCCCCGAAATGTTTCAGATTTTTTAAAAAACCTGGTTTACTCATGAATTTTAACTGGTTAACCAAATCCCCACGCTAAGTCTATGAGATGCAAAAAATCAAGAGTCCCTCCAGAACTGCAAGCACTATCTCAAGCAAATATTAGCAATTTATTCACACTGTCATTACTTGCAGCAATAGCCGATGTAGTTGTTCTGGTACAGCTGTACCAGGAGCTCCAACTTTATTTGCTTTGTATTAAATGTTTGCTTGCAGCCCTGGGTTTCAGGGACTCTGCAGATAGGTGGCTTCCTTTGGTTGCAGTCATAGGGCAAGTCACCTGTCCATCATCGTTAAGTTTTGGTTCCCCCCCTTGCTCAGGGCAATTGGGAAGGGAAGGGAGCCATTTTTAGTTAGTCTCAGCAAGGTAAGCTTATGTATAGGATGTGTGCAAGCTTCCCCTGTACAAAAGCTTCAACCCTTAAGATCTTCCGGGGGAGAAAGGTCTTAAGAGTCTCCAAAGAATTTCCAGGAAAACAGCCCTAAAGACCAAAGAACTCCAGCTGGAGAACATCTACTGCCTTGCTGGTAGTAGGTCCACTCGGCATTTGAGACACAGTTCGACCCGGTAGCGGAGCCCACATCAGTAAGGGTTAGATTACAGTTTAAAGAAGAAGTTATTGAAGACAGTTGCCTGTTTTTTGTGGGCAAGTTTAGGAAGCTACCAGTTGCATAAAAGCCTGGAATCATTTGTTTAACTTTCTGAAGACAAGAGAAGTTTCTGTTTGATTGTTCATTAATAAAAGACTTTGTTGTACTTCTCAAGCCATCTAAAGACTGTTTGTGGTGGAAACCTCTGAGAACTTCTCTTTAGGCCCCCTGGCTTCCCGCTGGGCAAAGGTTGCACATCTTGTTCTAAAGACAATTATTTACATGCCCAGCACGCGACAGAACAGTAGTGAAGCAACCAAGTTGGGGGGGGGATGTTGAATGCTCTCATTAAGGAGGCCAGACTTGGTGGAGGTGGTTGACAAGGGCAGAGCTGCAGGCTATTGAAGGCTGCTCTGCCCCCTGCTGTGCTTTTTGCTTCAGCGTGAGCTAGGTGGCCAGTTTCAAAAAACCCCTGCGAAATTTTCAACCCCCCCCCCCCGAAAATTTCAACCCCTCCCGAAATTTTTTTCTGGCTACGGCCCTGAATATAGTACAATATAATAATATATAATAATATGGTAATTGTATGTTATATATTACATATAATATTACTAGTAATATTGCAGTATAATGTGTTATTATTTTTGATGTTGATGTGGATTTGGGGAGTTGTTTATTTTTGTCTTTGTTCAGCTTCTCGCGGCATTGAATGTCACCGATATCTGTTGTAAACCACCCTGAGTCCCCTCAGGGAGATAAGGAAAGTTATAAATAAAGTATTATTATTATTATTATTATTATTATTATTATTATTATTTCTCTCTTCATTCTATGGAAGAAACTGTAGTTTCGGTTTAGACAATGCCTTCTTTTAACCATCTGACGCTTGCAGTCAGCATCCAAGTAATGAGTACAATCTGTAACTAGCTTTTGTTCTGCCTATCATCTCATGTCACTGCAGAGAATTAATACTATTCATGCCATCTTGCAACACAGAGAATCACTCCGTTTTATAACATCATGCTTTTGGATTTCCTAATCTCATGCTGTGGCCGAAGAGCTGGAAATTTACAAGCCAGGAGTAAACACACAAATGGCAGTAGTATTAACATCAACAGGGGCGAGCCAAGCTAAGTGTTCTGGTGAGGCAAAAAAGAGCCATGGAAAGTGTTTTCTAACCAAGCTCTTGGACTATAGCTCCCATTGCTCAGTCAGCAGAACCTTGGTAATAGGAAAGATAGGAGTTGTAGTCCAGTACACCCAGTTGCAAATCCAAAGGCTGAAGAAGGCCCTAACCAGGGATTCCAACAGAAAAGAAAAATAACAATGGGCTTATGTGGAATTGAGGCTTTGGGTATGGAAACTGTCTCTATGCCCTGCTTTTTAAAAGGTACCGCATTGCTAAGGACCTCTCTGTGAAACATGCAGAATCTGCCATGAAGCATCGCTACACAAAGTGATCCTCCTTGGACTGGTGCCAGATTGCAAGCCATCAGCTATTATGCATAAATATGTGAGGGGAAGTCATAGGGAGGAGGGAGCAAGCTTGTTTTCTACTGCCCTGGAGACGAGGATGCAGAACAATGGCTTCAAACTACAGGAAAGGAGATTCCACCTGAACATTAGGAAGAACTTCCTGACTGTGAGAGCTGTTCAGCAGTGGAACTCTCTGCCCCAGAGTGTGGTGGAGGCTCCATCTTTGGAGGCTTTTAAACAGAGGCTGAATGGCCATATGTTGGGGGTGTTTTGAATGCAATTTTCCTGCTTCTTTGCATGGGGTTGGACTAGATGACCCACAAGGTCTCTTCCAACTCTATCATTCTAATTCATGGGGAGTTACAGAAATGAGTGAATATGGGTATAAATATGATACTGGTCCCTGACACATTTGAAAAATGTGCCAGGGACCAGTACCATATTTGTGTCCATTGAGAATTTGAAACCAATTTTACAAGAGAAGAAAATTCTTGATTAAATAATGTGATTTTTGGTCTCATCTTAAGCAGAACCACTGAATCCCTGGAAATGTACATATACACCAACTCACCAAACTTTCATTGATTCAACCAGCCTACTCTGGCTGAGACTAAAAAACTCTGAGCAAACAAGAACCACAGATTTAGCAAATTACCACTCAAATTATTCACCTTATGGAAAATGTGTCCGTTTCTAGACATGCTTGCACCACTATTTGTTTTAAAATAGAGTTTTAATATAGAGTATTTCCCCAAGACTGAATGCATTTATCAGAAACCCAGGGCCCTGGAAAGTGTTGCATTCAGGAAAAAACTGAGTGGATATTTACCATTCAAAGCAATGACCGATGGAACAAAACCAGGAAATATTTAATTGCCTTGCTCTAACAGGAATTCACTAGTACTATTGTCTTAAATACATTTGATTGTCACAATAAAGATTTTTTTTCATGTGTTAAAGGCTTTCATGTTCGAAATTTCTGGGTTGCTTGAGTTTTCCGGGCTGTATGGCCATGTTCCAGAAGCATCCTCTCCTGACGTTTCACCCACATCTATGGCAGGCATCCTCAGAGGTTATCAGACCTCACAACCTCTGCCATAGATGTTGGTGAAACGCCAGGAGACAATGCTTCTGGAACATAGCCATACAGCCCGGAAAACTCACAGCAACCTCTTTTTCATGCATTTTTCTCCTGTTTTCTCCAAAAGTGAGGGAATATATGTACCTCTTGCAATCATGTGATATTTGCTCACCGTGACAAATACATTTCCAGACAAGGCATTAATTTTGTTCTATAAATAAACTTCAAGACAAGTTACTAAAGAAATCACAGCTGGGAGTTTGATGCTTCATTTAGTATTTACTTAATATTCTTAAATTGAACCCTTGTAAAAAAAACAAAAAACAAAAATGAAGTTCTTCTTTAAAAGGGGGCTTTGTTTCAATATTTTTGCACAAGAGAAGCTAAATTATTTCATAATCTGTCTCCCATTCCAGAGGATAAATATAGAAATTACTGTTTTGTGGTGCGAGTGTTTGTTTTTTGGGGTGGGGCAGGATCTGCAAAAACATCCTATAATATTGATCATGCAAAATAAAAATTAGTTTCAGATCTACCAGAGATTATAAAAAGGCAGACTGAAAAATCAGCACTCTAATGGGTTTCTAAGCTCATGGTCAAAAAAATAAAACCCAAAATTGAAAAAAAAATCTAAAAATATTGTTGACTGCATTTCTTACCCTGGTAACTTTTAACTGGTGTCATCTTGTTGTAATCTTCTGACAAAATAAATTCCTGGAAAATAACAAAGTAGCCACTTTAGAATGTATGACGTAACTAACAATTAGTTTGCAATGCAACATTTCTTGTTAAAATCCAAGAATTTATTACTTTGGCAATAGTTTGGGATTCCAGTCTTGTCCGTGGCATGTTCTGTGAATCAGCCCCAGTTGCCTGATCAGAAACATCAAGGAGCCATATGTCCCAGTCAAGGAGGCAGGAAACTCTGACTCTTTCTGCTACATGTCTGGAATATCTAGAGAAATCAGCGTAGGGCTGATATCTATTGCTTTTCCAAGTAATTTTGACACAGGAGGCTACGGGGACAGGAGTGGGGTTGTTATTTGCTGGCTGGCAAGAATGTAAGGGGCCACAGTGGGTTAAACCCTTAGAGCCGCCACAAACTAGGTTCCTGGGGGAGCAAACCTTGCCAGCACATCCCTGACGTCATGAGCCTGCGCCTCTCTCCCCGCCCCTTTCTCCACCCCTTTCTCTTTGCCAGCGTGGTTTTTCCTTTGCTAGGGCAGCATTGCCCGCATTTTCTCTCAGTTGAATTCTGCCAACTGAGAGAGTACGCTGGCAATGCTGCCCTAGCAAAGGAAAAACCACGCTGGCAAAGAGAAAGGGGCGGAGAAAGGGGCGGGGCGAGAGGCGGAGTCTCATGACGTCAGGGACGTGCTAGCAAGGTTTTCTCCCTAGTTTGCGACGGGTCTTAGGGCTGAACTGCTGACTTGAAGGTTGGCAGTTCGTATCTGTGGGACAGGGTGAGCTCCCGCTATTAGTCCTAGCTCCTGCCAACCTAGTAGTTTGAAAACATGCAAATGCGAGTAGATAAATAGGTACCACTTCAGCGGGGAAGGCATATGACACTCCAAGCAGTCATGCCGGTCACTCGACCAAGAAGATGCTTGATTTGGAGAACAACACTTTCCCCAGAGTCAGAGATGAGCATTTTCTCTTTTCGGAAATGAAAAGAGAAGCCTTTGCCTTTGTTTGTGTATCTCATTGTTTTGTAACAAGGCACTGAATGTTTGCCGGTATCTGTTTATGCTGTAATCAGCCCTGAGTCCCCACTGGGAGAAGGGCGGAATATAAATAAAGTGTTGTTGTTGTTATTGTTGTTGTTACTGAGCCAATGGGAAATGCGAAAACAGGATCCAATGAGAATATTTTTTAAATGTTCCCACTCAGATTCAGCACATTTTTCATCTTCTCCTTCCTAGAGTGTTAATGGACACCGAAAGACTGGCTGTGGGGCTCCTCTAGATTGCCCAAGAGTCCTAGTAAATAAATGTTGGGGCGTTCTGCTTCAGGATCTCATAAATCATAACACCTTGCGATGTTTCCTATGTGTTGCTACACCTTAAATATACCGGGGGTGATAACCTAAATCATAGTTTATGTTTCATAACTTGATAATTCTATAGCTACATTGCAGAAATGCAAAGAGACCCTGTTTTGTGAGTTGTGAATATGACCATCTGGATCAGGGGTCCTCAAACGAAGGCCCGGGGGCCAGATACGGCCCTCCAAGGTCATTTAACTGGCCCTTGCTCAGGGTCAACCTACCTCTGAATTATTATTTTTTTTGTGTGTCAAGAGCAACGCTCCTGTTGTGAGAGAATTGGCTGCCTGCAAGGACGTTGCCCAGGGGATGCCCGGATGATTTGATGTTTTATCATCCTTGTGGGAGGCTTCTCTCATGTTCCCGCATGAGGAGCTGGAATCTGATAGAGGGAGCTCATCCGCCTCTCCCCAGATTCGAACTTGCGACCTGTCGGTCTTCAGTCCTGCCGGCACAGGGCTTTAACCCACTGTGCCACCGGGGGCTCCACCTCTGAAATGACTTGAAAGCACACAACAACAACAACAATCCTATCTCATCACCCAAAAGCAGGTCCACACTTTCCATTGAAATACTAATAAGTTTATATTTGTTAAAATTGTTTTTCATTTTAATTATTCTATTGTTTTTAAGTGTTTTTCTTTTTTGCATTAGAAATAAGATGTGTGCATGGGAATTCATTCATGTTTTTTTTCAAATTATAATCCAGCCCTCCAACACTTTGAGGGACTTTGACATGGCCCTCTGTTTAAAAAGTTTGATCTGGATGTTGTGAAACTGCTCAATTAAATTATGCACACATATATTTAGAAAGATGTAAGGCCCTGGTGCTGAAGCTGATGTCTCATCAAACAACGACCCGTGATTCCATAGCATTGAGCTGTGGCAGTGAAAGTGATTTTGAACTGTATTAATTCTACAGTGGAGATGGATCCAGGGACAATGGATACAGGTAAATTTACCCTACCCTAGAGATCCCAAAAGAGATGTTTTCTCAGGTATAAAAAAAGTGTTTTTTAATTCACTTTTTCCCATTCTTGCAGAGTCCTTTGTCCTTAACCTCTGCCAATGTCAATGGATGATGTATTATTATTATCATTAATTATACCACCATGAAATTCCACTCTACTCCCTTGCACTCCACCTTCCTTCATTCAAAAGAGGGTTAGAAACATGGGAGATCCAATCACACAGGTATCAAGAGGAACAGAAATATACATGAAAATAGCACAGAGCAAGGATGAAAATCAGAACATCCCAGGTTACCAATGTCTTTTTCTTGAGTCAAGCAATGCCTATTATACAGGAAAATGTTAGTGGCATCACTTGACACATCATGAAGAATAGGAAGCAATTACTGTCTGTCCTGCCTGAGCTTTGTTTGATGTTTTCTGCTGCAGAAATGACAAAGTTCAATTGCTACACATAGTCCTTGCCTTTGCATTCATGTTTGCTTTTGCAGCCTGATCCATTAGTGTTGCTTCATTTTTACAAAATCAAGTGCCTTGCACACTCCATTTTGTTTTAAAAACCCAAAGGACTAATTTTGTCTTTTTGTTTCATTTTTTTAAAAATGTAGTAAGAGCTCTGTCAAGATATCTTACATCTCAAGGATGCATGAGTAGCATCATTAAGCACATCTATAAAGCTATTTGCAGCAACCACTGTGATTAAGTCAATACAACAATCTTGGTTGCAAAAAGTACATGAGAACCACAATAGCAATACAGATCAATATCCAACTTTGATCTATTTTAAGATATGATTGCTGACATTAGACATTCCACCTAGCCATTCTATTCCTGTTGTTGTCTCCTTTGCTTGCCTTTTCAGCATGTTAACTCCCTATCAGCAGCTTGTACGTACAGTCAGCCCCCCACATTTCTTGGGATTAGGTGCACAAAACCCCCACAAATGAATGAATGCTATTTCTGAGTTGCTGTAAGTTTTTCGGGCTATATGGCCATGTTCCAGAAGAATTTTCTCCTGACAGGCATGTAGCCGGGGGGGGGGGGGGGGGGGGGGGGGGGCTTCAGCCCCCCCTCCCCCGAAATTCTCATGGAGATCCGCGAAAAGGCCTTACTGGTACATTATTTAAACTGTTATGTTTATTCATATCATGATCTGATCACCATGCTCAATATATCCCATATGCATGGGGGTATTGGGGTAACGATACAGAAGGTTTGCCAGGGTAGACCCCCTCCCCAGACTCAGCCCCTCCCCCCCAATCAACTCAGCTCCCCCAAAACAAAATCCTGGCTACGGACCTGTCTCCTGACATTTCATCTGCATCTATGGCAGGCATTCTCAGAGGTTGTGAGGTTTGAGGATGCCAGCCACAGATGCAGGTGAAACGTCAGGAGAGAATGCTTCTGGAACATGGCCATACAGCTCGAAAAACTTACAGCAACCCAGTGATTCTGGCCATGGAAGCCTTAGACAATACATTAATGCTATTTATTTTAACCTGAGATAACACCAGTCTAGGCATGTCTAGGTCCTATGGTGTGACCCTATGGTCAACGTAAGCTGGACATTCAGAGAGAGATGACCATAATGATTCCCAGAGAGATTGCACTGAGAGATATACGCATGATGTAGTTATTTTTTTGTCTCTACATTTCCCAATGCTATTCTTCCCCCCAAAAAACTTGCTCACTTTGTAAGCAGTGCAGCAACTCCACCCCACAGCCACATCTGAATGGTTGGAAACAAGAGACCTTGGGGGTCCTTGTGAGCTACACAATGGCCATAAAATGAACCCCTGCAGGACCATAAGGTTGGGAAAATTCCCCTTGACCACAAGACCATGGCCATCCCTTATCCACTGATTTGTAGTAGTTGTCAAGTTTTAAGAGGGGACTACACCAGCCTTACCAGGTATTATCAGAGTCTAAACCTGGCATTTTCTGCAAGCAAAGTGGGGGAACTACTACTGGGCTGCAGGGTATTCCACTAACAAAAAAAAATATCAAGTTTATTCTATAGCTTTCAGGTATCAACTCAACAGTGAGGCAGAGACAATGAGACAATTAGTCCAGCATGTGTTTATTTTGGTTCCAGAGTTTCATGTAGACACCCTTCTACTGGGTCGATGTATTTAAAGTGTTACGTGACTAAAAAATACAAGGTTGGGCATTGCAACACAGCAACTCATGTGCTTGAGCTCTAAAGCCACTAGACCCAATCTATTTTCTTACTCTCTGAAGCTCCCAAATAAATACACCCTGTGCTCATTGTCTCTTTTCTGACTCACTGTTGAGGGCACTTGAATCTTGGACTATAGGCAATGTACAAACACTGCTCTTTTTAAAGTGAAAGATAGACTTGCATGAAAAAAATATTCCCAAATTCCTCCCACCAAGTTTGTGTGCAGGCGGGGCTAAACTCTGTACTGCAAAGATGCTCCAGTTCTGTTGCAGCAAAAATCCCATTCATGTGGAAATGAGGATTCATGGCCTACCTGATGTGGAACTGTGAGTCTAATCAGACTCTTTAAGCACAACCAATAGTAAAGAATGGTGAGATATGCAGTTCAACACTTTCCAGAGAGGGTCATTCATTCTCACTGATGATGCAGCGGAATATCTTTAGCATGAGCTGTTAATGAATGGAGAACTAACATCCACTTACAACACACTGTGTTCTGCCCAACATTGTTCTGTCTTTCCATTCATCCAAGGATAGGAATTGCAAAGTCTTCTAACTTACGTTGGATAGCAATTCCCAGCAGCCCTAGCTATGGAAGTCAACAGTAAAGAATGCTGGGAGTTGAACTCCAACATCTGGCAGGATGCCCTTGTATTTGTCTGTCAATTCTCAGGTTTTTCTTTTTAAAAAATCATCAAATCAATATATGGGAAAGATGGAAATTGTCAAATGTACTTACCGAGATGGTTCCATTGTCTAAACCGACAGACAGCCTTCTTGTTTCTGGATTAATGCACATGCATGAACATGGAGCTGCAGGGAAAAATTGAACATGTGGATAAAATTAAAACTATTTACTCTTATTAATCTTGCTATCAAAAAACTCTGGAAAACAAGCCCTATGAGGAGCAGCTAAAGGATCTGGGCATGTTTAGCCTGAAGAAGAGAAAGATGAGAGGAGATATGATAGCCAAGTATAAATATGTGAGAGGAAGCCACAGGGAAGAGGGAGCAGGCTTGTTTTCTGCTTCCCTGGAGACTAGGAAACGGAACAATGGCTTCAAACTACAAGAAAGAAGATTCCATCTGAACATGAGGAAGAACTTCCTGACTGTGAGAGCCATTCAGCAGTGGAACTCTCTGCCCTGGAGTGTGGTGGAGGCTCCTTCTTTGGAAGCTTTTAAACAGAGGCTGGATGGCCATCTGTCAGGGGTGATTTGAATGCAACATTCCTGCTTCTTGGCAGGGGATTGGACTGGATGGCCCAAAACGTCTCTTCCAACACTATGATTCTATGATTCTTTATATAGCCAACTGAGAGGAGAGCATGTGGAGGAATGAAAATCATGCGTAGTTCACATCTTTACCAATCCACACACTGTCTTGCTAGAGAAAAGATATGCCATGCAGATGATCAGTAAAGAATAAGGTGTTTACTCTTTGTTATGTGGAGAAAAATATATATACTCATGAGGACAGTTGCATTGACACACAATGTCCTTTGAGAGAGATTCAAATGGTCCTTAGGTGTCCATGTGAAGGATCTTCTTCCAGCAGCCCAGAAGCAAAAATACAAATTGTCTTGGCAAGCTCCTGCACAGAAAACCTAAACATGTAACTGTTGCCAAAACTCCCAGACTCAGCTAGCTTCTCGGGTGTAGCCCAACCAATCAGCTTCATGCTTTGCATTTTTCAATTAACACACTCACCAACTGATTTCTACATGCTCCAACAGAGCAGAATGGAAATGAGTTGTGTGTTTGCCTTCAAAGTCAATCCAAAATTCTTGGCTTGTATATGCAGGATCTCCCTTGTCCCTCCCTGGGATTAATGACTCAAATCTTAAATTCTGGCATGTGGGAAAATAAAAACAAATGAAATACAGGGAGTTAGTGCTGAAATTGACTATGCTTGCAACAGAGGCTCCATGGATCAGTGGCAATGCAACCAGGTGTCGCTTGGGTATGTATCTCCCCAAGTGAAGACACACCGAAAAGAACATCAGTGCAGTCGTTTCATGAAAAACAATCTCTTCTCATAGCTCTGGCCATTTCATCCTATTCTGCAGGGCAATAGTGTTTACCTGTCTTAAGAGATAAATGCCAAACTTCTCTAAGTTACCAATCGTGACTAGAATTTCTCTGTAGTTGTCTGCCTGGTAGGACTGCATCCTAGCAACAGGTTTTCAGAAAAAGATTATATTTCAGGGCTCTTTAATCTGGTTTCAATGAAGAACTCGGCAGCTCCTGTGTAATAGCTCAGCTGCATCTCCTGCATTCAAGCTGTTCTCTTGAAAGACGGCATAAAATATACCCTGATATTTAGTCAGAATTCCCCACAGCCGCCTTCACCTTTGTTGTTGTTGTTGTTGTTTTAAAAAGAAAGAAAAGCTTTGTGTATTCCCTCTCTGCAATCTCTAACCTACTTACAACAAAGCCTTTGTTAATGCTCAGGAGCTAATTTCCATCACTGAGAACACACTTACCATGATGACGGGGCATCTCTTTATAAATTAGGGTTTCTAGGGTGTTATTATAATGAAGACATTGAACATGTTCATGATAGGCTTTCTTAACGACAACAGGCTTAACTACACACAGTTACTGTGTTCACACAGCTCTTGAAAAGCCACCTAGGTGGATGATTTCGTGTTATGCAAGTATTACGCTGATTGATAATCCCTTTCAAAAATCAAAAGTGTTTTACAGTCTATTAACAGAACTAGCTAGCTCTCCTTGAAACAAACTCATTTTAGAGTGAGATAAAGGACTGATTCAAATGTAACATTAAGGAATAGTTTAGCATTATGAGAACAAAGCTTCTCACTACCTCTGAGGATGCTTGCCATAGATGCAGGCGAAACGTCAGGAGAGAATGCCTCTAGAACATGGCCATATAGCCCGAAAAGACCTACAACAACCCAAAGCTTCTCATTCTGTGCTGTGGCCACAAAATGTGTACTTATTTATTAATTAACATATATAATATTGCTAAAGTATACAAAATTTAGTATTATAATGCCATTACACTGTCAGTAAAATTCACAACATTTTAAACATACAGTACGTGCCCGGTACCCATGACATTGGTATCTACTGTTTCACCCATCTGTATCTGACAAAACATATCCTCTCTAGGAAATATCTAGGTCCTCTCAGCAATTTTATGGTATGCCTTTGCTGGAAGTTATCCTGTTGGAGGTCCTAGGAAATCACACTAGGAATTTTCTCGGTCCTTCAAATGCAATAGTATGGTAACATCCAGAGAAAGCCAATCATTTCACACCTCGCAACCTCACTTGCCTAGTTTCCAACAGACCTCACAACCTTTGAGGATGCTTGCCATAGATGAAGGTGAAACATCAGGAGAGAATGCTTCTAGAACATGGCCATACAGCCCAAAAAACCTACAACAGCCCAGTGATTCCGGCGATTAAAGCCTTCAACAACAGATGAAAAAATTATTTATTGAGTCTATTAAATGCATTTCAGACAATAGTACTAGTGAATTCCTGTTAGAGTAAGGCAATTAAATATTCGGTGGTTTTGTCCATCGGTCATTGCTTTGAATGGTAAATATTAGGTTTTTTTTTTCCTGAATGCAGCACTTTCCAAGGGCCTGGGTTTTTGACAAACACATCTTGCCCTTGGTCGGCCCCTCTTCCTTTTTCCTTCCATTTTCCCCAGCATAACTGTCTTCTTTAAGCTTTCCTTTCTTTTCATGATGTAGCCAAAGTACTTCATCTTGGCCTCTTGGATATATTTAAAATATATCCTTCTCAATACTTTCAAGCCGGTTTAAAAGACTGAATGTGACTGGAGCCTTAGATGCAAGCTCCAAATTACCAATAATTCACTATTTTGGCTTTCATGGCCACTATTCTGGCTTTCATGGCCAGAATCACTGGGGTGTTGGATGGTTTCCGAGCTGTATGGCTGTGTTCCAGCAGCATGTTCTCCCGACGTTTTGCCTGCATCTGTGCCTGGCATCATCAGAGGATCATGAGAAAAAAACACAGCCATATAACTCGGAAACGACACAACACTCCAATTCATTTTTTTCTCTTGCAAATGTGCATCCTACCAAAATCTGATGTGCAACATTTGGTGATGGAGCCATCAGGAGCAGTGTTACCTGGCAAGCCAAGGGCCTTTATGAAGAATTGAGATTGTGGACCAGTTCATTCTAGTACCTGTTGTTTAGAGAGACATGCATTTCCAATGGGACATCTTGCTAAGAGCTTTGGTTAGAAATGGCATGGATGAATTATGTATATGCACTCAGTACTATAAGCAGGATCTTATAAACAATGCAAAGTTAAGGAACTAACTGAAAAAAGAGCTTATCCATCAATGTTTTGATCAGGCAAATGTTATGTAAGAAAAATGCAATGATTTTCAGAATTTGCTGCAAAAGAGTGTTAGAAAAGACATTCTCCATCCCCATTGTTTCAATCACCATCTATAGACAGAATGTTCTTTGTCAGCAAAAAGAACATCCAGTGATTCAATTTACAACTTCATCTATAAGAGCTGAATGAAATATAACAGCATTAAACTGAAACAACACTGGGCAGGGCATTTTGTATTGTCCCATACCACAAGAAAACAGTAAAACTTTTTAAATTCTTTGGGGGTGATAATATCAGTCTTTGGCACTGAAGTAGATGCAATCATCAGTATTAACGTCATGGGTTTTTAATTTTTATTTTGCAAAAAAAAAATCAACAAAAGGTTTCTATTTCTGGCACCCTTCATGAAAAAAAAAGTTAAAACTAATATAGCAAGAAAATGCTATTCTACACTCATCCCCACCAGATATATGCTTGTTAAGTTGTTGATGTCATTGCAGAAGTTTCAGAAAAAAATTACATCACATAACATACACTCAGACAATAACAATGAAAATACAGGCTTTCATGCCTGGAATCACTGGGTTGTTGTAGATTTTTTCAGGTTATATGGCCATGTTCTAGAAGCATTCTCTCCTGACGTTTCACCTGCATCTATGGCAAGCATCCTCAGAGGTTGTGAGGTCTGACAATGTCTTCCTCTTCACTGTTACTGTGTTTGCATCTCTAGTTTGCATAAACAAAGCCTGTATTTTCACAACCGATTTGCTTTCCTTGGTGAGCTTCACGGTTCTTGTTTAAAATGCACAATAAGTTTATTTCTGGCTGTTGGAGTTCAGCAGCAAGATGCTGGGGATTTCTCAGGGGCGGAAGGGGATGATGGGTTTCCCACTGAGGAGTCTGTGTATGATCAGGGCGAATTGCAGGCCTTAGATCAGACAGAAGTGCCGACAATTACAGATGAGATAGAAGATGTTTGGGATTCCAATGTTAATTCCTTAGCAACTGAGGAAAAGTCTGTTTCTCTTGGGAATGGGCCTTCAGCAGATGGGGAGTTTTCCTGAGATATCAGATTAGGCCTCCGCATGGAGGGAGTGAAGGATAGATTAATTAGGCATCCAGAAAAACTCCATGAGAAGTCCTTGAAACCCAGGTGTCAAAAGCATGACCTCATGGCTTCTTGGTCGAGCTTGAGCTTAAATTAAGTGGTGTTTACTTGGTGTCTCCAGAGCAGACAACACTGTCATAGATTCAAGTTCCTGTTTCATCTCTCTAGCTCATGATGCAAGTCTCCCGTGTTTGCCTATGTTCATTTATTGAATAGTGTCCTAACTTTTCTGACCCCACCCATTTCCACATGCACAATGGAGGACCTTCTTACAGTGACACCAGAAGCACTTGAAGCGGCCAGCTTCTGGTGAAAGGACATTTATCATAATGCCAAGCTTTTAACTTTGTTTATGGTTTTTAAAAATAAATTATAACTGTATTCTCAATTTGCTTCTGACACGATAAATAAATAAATTCCCCCAATTTATTTATTCTTTGATGGCTTCTTTGATGTCTTGACAAGTTTAAAAATATGTTTTAAATTGGGTTTTCTCATAGTGTTACTTAAATATGGCTACATGATTTGCTACTTAATTTCAGAGTCTGGAGAGTTTGCAGAAGTGAAAGGCATCTCATGGACTTCAATATATAATTCCTGTTTTAAATGCAAATTCAGTTTTATGCTGAAACGTTGCGGCCTATCCTACTGGTACATACCTTTCAAATATTATTCCTGAACACCAGTCCTATTTGAGAATCTCGGACATTTTGTGCTACATTAACACCCACAACAAAATGCAGATTCAAATACCACCAGCATTAGTGGAAGAATCATTTTTCAAAGCCGGCTAAACAAATGTCTCCCCATAACGGACTGCAAAAAGCAGAGTGAAAACTGTGAAGAAAGGAAAGCAGGTTGCTGGGAAATCATACGAAGTATGTATTACAAATACTTACCTGGCATTGCATGGTATATGCTTGGCCAATACTGTCCATTGTCCCTCTTCAGCCATAAACGAACCGTTCTGAAAAAGAGCAGGAGAGGAAAACATCTTTATCATTGTCCCATTAATGGCCTTTAAAAAAAAGATGAACATGATGTCTTCAACCATGAAGATTTGGGTTGCTGTGAGTTTTCTGAGCTGTATGGTCATGTTCCAGATGCATTCTCTCCTGATGTTTCACCCATATCTATGGCAGGCATCCTCAGAGGTTGTGGGGTCTGTTGGAAACTAGGCAAGTGGGGTTACTTGAGTATAAGTCTAGTTTTTAGGCTGAAAAAGTCCCCCTCGGCTTATACTCGAGTCAAGGTTATTTATTATTTTACTCTGTTATTATTATTAATAATATTACATTTATTATTTCACTCTATTTATTATTATATTTATCCTTTTACTCTATTATTATTACATTTATTATTTTACTTTATTATTGTTATTATTACATTTATTATTTTACTTTATTACTGTTACTATTACATTTCCATTATTTCACTCTATTATTATTATTATTATTACATTTATTATTTTACTCTATTATTGGAAGGATACGTAAGCACATTTACATGGAAGAAGGTTCGAATAATGATTTAATCAGAGTTGGACAGTCTTACCTTAAATTACATTTTTATGTAAACATTCAAAAACATTTAACCTACTGATGCCACAATTAATGTAATTTTATTGGTATCTATCTATTTTGAAATTTAACACTAACTGCTGCATTTCCTACCCTCGGCTTATACTCAATACGCTTTTCCAGTTTTTTTGTGTTAAAATTAGGTGCCTCGGCTTATATTTGGATCGGCTTATACTCAAGTATATATGCTAATTTATTTCAGCATAAGCTTTCATAGATTGCAGACTGCTTCTTAAGCACATTTTGCATCTAAAGAGCTGTATGGGAACTCATGAAACTTTTTGATAAAATAAACCATTTTTCCCGAATATTTTCCTTTTTAATACTTATTTTTATTAAATGTGGCAATAGACAGGAGAAAAAATATACATACAGAAAAATAAGAAAGAATTAGAAAGTAGAATGAAATATGTACTGTATATGGTTTTTCAGAATATTCCTGATGCCCCAGGTCTGCCGCAATCCAATTTGTCTATCTGATTTACATTTAGTAGATAAAACTAAACAAAGGGCATTTTAAAACAAACATTAAATATAAACCAATGTATATGAAGGCGGAAGCAGGAGGTATAGCAGCGAGAGAGCTTCATGCGAGAGGAATTACAAAATGCTTGGGGCAGATCATGAATACAGAGTGATTTATGTTAGTTCTGGTTCAGCAAATTCCACTAAGAAATAACCTGCATTTTGCACTGAGCATTTCTTTCTTCACCTACAGCTCTGGATCCAAGGAAAAGCAGCTTCTGCCTGATTCAAACAAGGAGAATATGAGCTGGAAAAACTAGTTTCAGGGAAATGCAGGAGGGAGAAACATAATTTTATGCAAGCTATTCAATCTCCTTCTTCTCTATTTGTCACACATGGACAAATATACTATATACTATACTGGCCCTATATCCCAGGATCTGATCCCAGGTTTTCTATTTATCCCAGATTATCCGGCAGTATGGACTCATATAATCCAATTTAAAGCAGAAAACCTGGGATCAGATCCTGGGATATAGGGCCTGTCTGAAAGGGCTCTGTGTTCACCCAGTTTCAACTATCAATGGTAAAATAGATATAACTGACTTCAATACACTTTTTTTTTTTGCATCATGCTGTGCGCGTGTGTGTCTGTGCCTTCAAGTCGCCTGTGAATTATTACAATCCCATCAACTTCACAGGGTTTTCTTTAGTCCAGGTGGTTTTTCAGTTCCTTCTTCTGAAATGCAGCCTAGTCTTATATTATTGCATTGTTGTTGTTGTTGTTTTAATATTTTTATTCAAGAGTTTTATAAGATTAAAAAGAAAGCATGTTTTTTACATCGAAAGTGGGAGAACATTATTGTTATAGTTAAGAGAGTGATAGGAAAAGAAAAGATAGTATTGGGAAGGGGGGGGGGAAACAAAAAGAAAAATAAAATAGAAAAAAATCCCAGAAAAAGAAAAAAATATGAAAAATATATATAAAAAGATAAAAAATAATTGTTGACTTCCCTCTAGTCTTCGTTGGTCTTTGGTATCTTGTGTCTATATTTTATAAAAAGGAAATTTACTCCCATGTTATTTCTTCTTTAATTGCAGTCTGTTTTTCAAATAATAATGTCTATTTTAAACATTATTGCATTGTTTTTGATTTAATATTTTCCACTTCTGTCAGCAGTATCAAGACCGTATGGCTGAAAGAATAAGTCGAACAAGATACAGTCTTCATTCCAGGTTGACACAAGAAGGCAAATTCATTCAGCCTTGTGAGACCTATTTTAAAACTCTTCCTCTTGTGTCCTGCTTTCTCCCTCTACAACTCTGGTGCCAGGTTTGAAGGGATTCTGGGCATAATGTCTGCCAACCACTCCTTTCCTTTTCGGATTAATAGAAAGCCATTAACTGGTTCCACTTCCAGTATAACAAGAGGCAAAGCAGGAGTATCACCTTGGCACTGCATAACTGGATAGATCTATATTAATGTTTGTTTTCATTTGAGATATGCATCTACGTTTATTATAGGGAGTGTGCATTTGAATATAATTTTGGCATGGCACAAAAGGAAAGAGGGAGCCAAGCCTGTTTCTTAAAGAGGAGCAACAACCATGTGCAGCTATTCCAGTGAAAAAGAAGAGATGTCACCACTGGATCCACCCAAGAAGATCTCAAGATCCACCTGCAACAAGTTCTATAACTTATGCCCCAAGGAACACTGAACTAGACAATACCTGGCTAACCAGTCACATAACTGGACCTAGAGGTCTGTGCACATGTATAACTAGCGACAAAGAACCATGTCTTGGAAATGGTATAGACCACACTGAATGCTCCTGAAGTGCGGTATGGGTTTACAGCACAACAGGGAGTGTAAAGAGTGGCAAGATGTTAAAACACTGGGGTTTTCCTTTTACATAACACTGCTTTGCCAAAACTCATCCATGGTTCTGCTTGGTCTTCAAAAAAGCTTTATACCACCATAACAAATAGTCAAATTTATTTATGATGTATTATTTATTTATTTAGGGTAGAAGTTTTCCCCTGACATTAAGTCCAGCCATATCCGACTCTGGGAGTTGGTGCTCATCTCCATTTCTAAGCCGAAGAGCCGGCGTCGTCTGTAGACACTTCCAACTGCCAGGACTACACAATGACATACTATACTGTGAACCACCCTGAGTCCCCTTCAGGGTTGAGAAGTGCAAGATTCAAATACCACAAATAATTTTTAAAAATACACTACAAATGCGGGAACTAAACAACTATAAAAAAAACCCTACAAACTTCCCACTTCTCTCTGATGGCTGTTATCTCTTATTAATCTACTCCCTTTAAACAATAATGTAACCATACGTCTACTTAAGGCAACACGCTACTCATTGATGAATCCGACAGTTGATAAATACCCACATCATTGACCTGAAAAGTCTTTCTTAAAGCTGGTCGAAGATTTCTCCTCAATCAGCATGGTCAACTTCTCTAACTTATCCATCTTCGCTAGTTCTCATGTCTTCATTAGTCATTCTTGCATTGGAATAACTATTTCCTTCCACCTCTCAGCATATACAATTCTTGCAGCAGTTATCATATATTGTAACATTCTTTCTAGATTATCATTCAGCATCACAAGTAAAATTCTGGCCTGAGTTTATACGTATGGAATTGTACTCCCGACAGAGTAAATGGTGTGGTAATTGATTCCTGGCACAGATCTGTTATCAATGAACTGGATGATCTTTTCAGAGAAACTGACTCACCAACGGCTATCAGATTTGAAGTTTCAGCAATCAGAAATACGGACGTATATTTTGTTTCCTTTTAACTGATGAAAGTAATAGATACCAAAACACTGGTTTTCTTTTACATGTTAATTCATTTTACATCTTTCTCATAATTAGATCCTCTCTTCGTTTTCCAGACAAGAAATGATAAAAGTCAGTTGAAAGACGTTACTGATTCAGGAAAACATGTTTCTGCTTTATATGCTCGATCCTTTAGTGTCAAGCTATGTTTTGTAATACAGAATGCTCATAAGACAACTCTGATGGCTCATAATGTTTGAAGAAAGTGAAAGAACAGACTTGGAACAGACTTTGTGACTGTATCTCCCTCTATGAACTGGCACGAGCACTAAGATCTGCCAGGGAGGCCTTTCTCTTGCTCCCACCTCCATCGCAAGCATGATTGGTGGGAATGAGAGGGAGGACCTTCTCGGTGGTGGCCCCCCGGCTCTGGAACTCTCTCCCCAGGGAGATTAGATTAGCCCCCACCTTGTCCACCTTTCTGAAAGACCTGAAGACGTGGCTGTTTCAATGTGCCTTCAAATAATGGTTCAGCTACTGATCAAGTCTGCCCAGCCCACATCTTTTGGTAGGATCTCCAGCACGTTATTCCCAGCCCCAACCTTACATTTTGTGTTCACTCTAGCCTTTGTTCTGTCCTATTAGTCTCAAATCTGCACATGCCCACTTTTCTCGGCTATTGGTTATTTGTTTCTTGGTTATGTTTTAAGACATATTAGATTTTATTTGTTTTATTGTTTTAATACAGTTGATTGTTATGTTTTAATTGTGTTACTTTGCAACCTTGTTTATACTGGGCTTGGTCCCCGTGTAAGATGCCCCAAGTTCCTTCGGGGAGATGGAGGTGGAATATAATAAAGTTATTATTTGAAACACAACAAGGTGAGTCCACAGCAAACAAGATCACTCTGCTGGTTGTTGTATTGGATTACACGTCGGACACTTTCCAAGTGTCTAGCACTGTGTGATGTATCGGTGAATAATGAGTGCAGATCCCAGTAGGGTGGCCTTCTGCAGCTGGCAGATGGTAATTTTGTCAGCGCCAATTGTGTTTAAGTGCAGGCCAAGGTCTTTAGGCACTTCACCCAGTGTGCTGATCACCATTGTGACCACCTTTACTG